CGTCCAAATGATTGTGTAATAAACGCTACGAAAGCTTGAAACACTATTTAGGGCAAAATATATACAAACGTGAGGCTTTTATCACGCGAATTCAAAGAAACGTTGTGCTCTGACTTCGAGTTCTACCCCATAACATTCTGCACAGGAGCTCGTTTCGAAATATACTTCGGCTGTGAGAGACGGATTATCACATTGTCTATTACAGTAACGCACTGGTTCAAATTTCAACCAATGCGCTTTCCAGTAAATGACCTTCGTTGCCCTCTGTTCCAATCAAAAGCTTTCACTTGTGATGTCAGTCATAATAGCAGAGGTGGCATTTTCGAACCCGCAGGCCCGCAATGTGCGGGTTACCACAACTCAAAAATGGCACCTCTAGTCCACGACGGCTGAGGACGGCCCTGATCAGATTTTGCCGTTGTCATGACGGAGGCAGTCGCAACAACTGTAGTTGTTACGGACTAGGGCTTCCTTTCTGGGGCTACCTAGAAAGGAAGGAGTGGAGGACTGTGACAAAATGTTGGGAGCATAATTTGGACGAACAAAATCAACTTAATCTCCACATTATGTACAGATCGTGCTGCAGAGGCTCCTCTCAGTACTATTATTAGAACTAACTTATTTTAACCAGAGTATGTTTCTAAGAATATGCCCTCAGAACGCTCCCTTAAGCGTGTTTGATTTGTGCAACCTGGTTTATGGGTGTGCCTTGTCTGCCATATGTTTTCTGTCACTGGGGCTGTTGGTAGAAAATCAAAATATGGTTTGTCCATAGTTGCATTACGTTTTGTGGCACACTTGGAGTTGGCTCAGTTTAAAGTCTTACGCAATAGCTGAACATGCATCATTTTGCTTATCACAATTTTTGACCAGCAAACGCCCACCAAGTTTGGCCCACAACCCGGCCAAAAGGCCGAGGTTTCTTGTGGGTCAGATATTTGCGGGTTGGCGGGTTGACAGGCTAGGTCTATAGTCCGAATTGTTGGCGGTTTAGTCCAAACTGTTGAAAGGTCATGTCTCCAGCCCGAACTGTTGGCGGGTTGAAAGGTCGCGTTTCTAGTCCGAGCTGTTGGCGGGTTGAAAGGTCATGTCTCCAGTCCGAACTGTTTGGTTGCATGGGTTGCAGGTATCAGCGCCCGCGCTAAGCAATAATTGTTGCATGAGCCCTGACTCCGCGGAAGCAGCGCCCGCGCGAAGCTGTACTTGTTGCATGAGCCCTGACTCCGCGGAATCAGCGCCCGCGCTAAGCGGTGCCTGTTGCACGAGCCCTAACTCCAACATCTGATCCGTGAGATTCCAGGCCAACGGAATACTTTTTGTCACAACAGCTGAACGTGCAGCAATGCTCGGTGCGGCCCGCCCGGCCCTCTGACGTCACCTGACCTTTAGCGCAGTCAGTGCCGCCGGCTGCAGGCCGTTCCAGTCAGGTGCCAATCGCCAGCACGACGGGTGGGTGAATCGGAACGCAGGCGCCCAGACCAACTAACCTGTCAGGACGGACACTCCGACTGTTCTTTAACCACGTATAGCCGCCGCCGTGCTGGATGTTTCCAAAATACTTTTGCTTTTCAGGTACAAAAGTGAAGCTCATAAAATATTGCTCGTTTACACCGTAACTATCAACATTTTGGAAACACTATTCCAGTGCTTAACACAATCCTGGTCGTGGACTGAAAAAATGTCGCAGCTAGTGGAATTCCTGTTGAAAACGACTGAAAGGTACTCATCACAGTACGCTGATGGCGTGACCCTTCGCCCATAAACGACATGTTAATGAAGTAATTTTTGAAAGTTAAGCGTTTGGTTGATATTTTCAGATATCGGGCAGAAAATTTAGACTTATATAACGATTACAGAAGACAAATCTTCCTAGAACCGTCGTTCTGGCAGCAAACCGGACGTTACGTTTTTTTTTTCGAAACGATGTATGCAAACCCGTGGCTTGCGTTCCGCCGCAGTGTACATAAAGATATTCAAGGATGTGGGTTCCAGGTAAAATGCTTACTTTCCGACCCCGCGTGCCGTACTGTCGCCTGCCATTTGTCTCATGACTAAAAAGGTGCTGCTCCTCAAACAGCTTTTCCCCACGCTGTCTGACATACAACAGCATGGATACGTGTGTTGAAACACTGGTCGCATCTTAAGCGACGTAGTTTAGAATTCTTCGATCTAATGGTGACATGGGCTGACACCCTCGCCGGACCTACATGATGCTCAGGATAGCGCATTGCTGGCCTTGATGCCTTAATTCCTTCTTGACCCATTTACTTGAGCCGGACTTTGAGACTGGATGAGTGGCTGCCAACACCAAATACCTGCTTCTTTAAGAATGGGGCCGACAAAAGTGCTGCTGTCATTGGGCACTACGACGGATGTAGATGTTGAGGCTATTTGGCGTTGCCTGCCTCTCATCTTGGCCGGAAAAGCGGTCACAACGCTTTTCGGTCACAACACGGGGAACCTGTGATCAGGGATCTTAAGGGGGAAACAGACCCCGTACCCCTGGCTTCCCAACTACTCAGCTTAGACACTTCACGACCGCCTCCTCTCGACCAGCTCACAAAAGTGGTGTATGTGTGTTTCCGGCGAAACGAAGAACTTTTTATTCTGAAAAGCAAGCTATAGCCCTAGCAAATCAACACATTAAGCTAATGATACTTTGGCGCCTTGTCGTCGGCTATAACGCCTTGGGCAAAGTCGCCGCCATGATGGAAGTACCAGTATTACATAAGCCTCCCATAGGGCCTCAGGCGAAAATGTGTTGGAATACTATGGGCCTAAAGACAAAATTCATGGTGAAGAAATACGAAAAGAGAAAACGTGTTGACTTTCTAGGTACTGGGCTCGGAAAGTATTTCTTGGTGGACCCAATCCTTTCGAGATCCTCACAATGTACTTGTTTGACAATTAGCTACCTGACCCTGTGAGGGTTGTTGTTTTATGGTCAGTTAACAGAAGCCAAATTTACCGGCACGTGTACAAGAAGACTAGGAGTGAAAGAGGACACTGTGGGTGGTTCGGGTCAAATCATGGGCACATATAACGGAATGGGCGACGTTCTGGACTGGGCGCAGATTTTGGGGAGAAATTACAGGCATGGACGCGGGTATGGAGCAAGACGTTTTCGAAATGTCTGGCAGATGCCTTTAGAAACACTACGTCTCATTACTCTTTTCTTTTGGCCATGTGAGCTTCATTCACACCGCTTTTGTGGTTGCCTGTGCAACAGAGTAAGTATTGGTGTACACTTAGCTGAAGCTCTTCCATGATTAAGAAGTGAAACGCTGGCAAAATGTGAATCGGTGACTAACTGGTAGATACAGCTGTTTACCAATGAACAGCGGACTGGTATGGGCAGAGTCCGATGGTAGCGGGTGGATAAGGTAAAGGAAATTTTATCCGTGAAGGCCTCTTATGCATGCATCGAAGTTTCTTTGCGAACTATCATGCGAACCCCCAAGGCTATCGCAAAACGGCCACCCTGGAGAACCTGCTGACTAATGCGTTTGTCTTGTCTTATGTCATGCTTATTTGTACCGTTCATTGTCATCACCACAGAAGCGATGTTTACTTCAGGAAGCTTTGCTTTGCTTAAAGCATGCTTGAGGAAGACTTGTGACACTAGTTTGCAGAAGCATTGCTTGCTTCGCCGTTGGTCTGAGGTAACGCCGAGGATGTGTGGAAGTGTTTACAACTGTCCGCCGGCTTCAGGAATCCTCCTGATCTGCTGAGCAATTTCATGTTTAATTTGTGTCTCGTGCGGTCTTCCGAATGTAACTAGCCTGCACGTGCAACCCCATTGATCCTTGGAACCATATTGCACGCCAGAGATACATCCTCGACGCGTCAGTCACGAGTCACCAGCAATCAAAAACAATCTCCCAGCCCATCTGCTCATGTGACGAACACGTGCCATCTACCTGATGCTTTGGACCTCGGCTTTGATCGTGCTAGTTACGCAGCTGGGAGAAGTGGACAGGCCCGGATTGGGTTGCGATGGAATGAGGAAGTAATCTGCAGGCAAATTAGGCTGCATGTGCACACTTTGGCTCGAATTGGGCATCCACCATTCTAATCAGCGACCATGCCCGCGGACCAATCGCCACCATCCATCTTCCCAGCCCAGAAAGGAAAGAAGCCCGTGATCCAGAGCCAGCAGAGCATCGAGACCGGCGTGGCACCCCAGCCATCCCCAGACTATCCAGCCGGACCCGCCGTTCACCGGCCCCAGACGCCACGCACACCTGCGTCCAGTCCTGGTCTTGACAGCAGCGCCCGCCACGTCACGCACCCGACTGCAGAGACGCGTGCGATCAAAGTCGTACCAGCTGTAGCTACTCAAGCATGCTGCGGGCCGGGTTTCGACCTTGATCCTCACTGCAGACCACACGGAGTTTTGCTATTTCCAGTCCCAGACGCCCGCCAACTCAATGGCGCGGCACTAACCATGCCGTGCGCTTGATGAGGTCTCTCTGGGCGTCTGCCGTACCGCTTTGGCGCAGGCACGGAGGTGCTTGACATGGTCTGGATGTGCGCCGCTTCGTCCCGGCACAGCTAAGGAGGCACTTGTGCCGGTCTGGGCGTGTGCCGCGCCACCCCGGCACAGGTACAGAGGCGCTTGACACGGTCTGGACGCGTGCCACGCCGTTCCGGTACAGGCACGGAGGCGCTTGCACGGTCTGGATGTGTGGCATGTCGGCCCGGCACAGGTACGGAGGCACTTGACACGGTTTGGGCGGGCGCTGTATCCTCTCGGCACAGGTACGGAGACACTTGACACGATCTGGCGGGTGCCGCGCCGCCCCGACCGCCGCCGCCGCCGCTGCCGCCTGACCCTGACCGCCATGCGGGGTGCTGTCCGGCCGGCCCCGGCCACGCCACGCGCCGGTTGCATGCAGCCCGCGACTGGCGCGGGATGCCGGGGTGCCGGCCGCAGGCGACGGTGCCGGCCGGCCAGGTGCGCAGACCGCCGCGGCCGCAGACAGGCGCTGGCGGCCGGCGGTGCAGCACGAGCTGCGATCCAGCACCCGACACAGCCTCACACGACAGCGGCGCGAGAGAGGGACGAGCAGCAGCGCCACCATACCGGTGTGAGGGCAGCCGCGTAAGGCGCCTGCACGGCGAGGACTGCAACACACGAGAGCGCCCTGAGGGCCGCAGGTAGGACTCACACTGCTGTAGTGGCCGGCAAGCGACGTGCTTTTACGAGCGGCTTGACTTGTGCACCAAAGGGGTTAGGTTTCTGCCATGCCTTTTCACGACGTCTGGACATAGCTGCAGAACTGCTCGGGTAATTGTCATAAATGGTATAGAACGTCTCATTGATGTTCAACCCACATTGAATTGTCTAGGTTCAGGTAAAAGTGGTTCATTTACCGAGAAGTCAAAAAATTCGAGGCAAAATTCGCTGCAAGGACACGCCCGAGCGCTTGTAGCCTTTAAAACTCTTTTAGCCTCGACTGCTGCCTTCCATTCGGCTCTCTTTATATTTATTTAGCTGTTTCTTAGCTCTCTGACTAAAATCAGAAAAATGCCGGACTTCATGGCTATTTTATTCAACTCATGGGCTTTTTTAATCCAACGTTGTTGTTTCCTGACAGAGTGTCGGTGTCGCAGTGGGTAAACTGCACATTCGGAAAACGACAGGTACGAGTTCGATTCTCCACGGTGTCCTCCTTTCCTGCCAGGACCAGAGACAGACGGCGCCATATGGCTCTGTTTCTGAATACGTCGTAAAGTCCCAAGGACAACTCAAAGCTACCTGACATGCAGGCTACATTTTGGGGTCATCACATCGCCGATTTGGCTGGCTTTTCATTTCGGCTCGGTGAGATTTTCTGTAGCAGCGTGACTGACCAGCTTGATTCCTTCCAGGCCTGGCAATGTCCCATTCTTCAATATTCTTCCCTGGGAGGTCAGCATAGGTCACGACCTGCGATTGTATGGATTGGACCCGTGCGGATGCACTCACTTTTGACATAGTTGCTCGTCTTTATGACTTTTGTGACGTGATACGGTTGTTCTTTGACCTGCGACATTTGTGCTGCAATAAGTCTTTGTAGGTTACTGGTCTATATTGGAATTTAAGTAGAAGCGGTTTGAAAAGGAGTGTCAAGCGCTGCAGATCTGACAATGCTCTTAATGTCTTGCTTTTTACACCACGTTTTTAGTACAATGTGTGCAAGTTTTGCAAGTTCACGCACACGTCAGCTCACTGACCATGGTGGATGCTAAAGATCTTAGGTGAGCCAAAATGTATCGCACTTTTTCCGTACCGAGCAAACAGGTCAGAATCCAAAAAGCAGCTTTTCAGCTCGAGCAAAATCCAGAATACCTGAACGTTTGCGACTTTTGCACGCAGCTTTCGTTCGTGACACCCACCTCCCAGCAGTTCCGCACCACTCGGCACCACCTGGAGCGTTCGTGACACTCACCTCCCAGCAGTTCCGCACCACTCGGCACCACCTGGGGCGTTCGTGACACTCACCTCCCAGCAGTTCCGCACCACTCGGCACCACCTGGAGCGTTCGTGACACTCACCTCCCAGTAGTTCCGCACCACTCGGCACCACCTGGGGCGTTCGTGACACCCACGTCCCAGTAGTTCCGCACCACTCTGCACCACCTAGAGCGTTCGTGACACCCACCTCCCAGTAGTACCGCACCACTCGGCACCACCTGGGGCGTTCGTGACACCCACCTCCCAGTAGTACCGCACCACTCGGCACCACCTGGGGCGTTCGTGACACCCACCTCCCAGCAGTACCGCACCACTCGGCACCACCTGGAGCGTTAAAAAAACTGCGACCGTCTGGCGTTTAAAAATGTGTATAATCTCGGCATCGAACCATTGGACAGGAAAAACTCCAACAGCAGTTGATACCCCTATTTGATCATGCCCAGGCATTGTTGGTCTAACAGTTGTCACATGCAAGGGGCGTAGTTTCGCGAAATTAGTTGGAAGGGGGCGGGGCTAAGCAGTGAAAAATAACCCAATCTGTCCCAAACATATGCCAACAAGCGGGTGCCTCTCCGGATTTTTTCCACTTTCTTCGCAAAAGATGGGAGGCGAGAGCTGAAACCCGGGCTTGGGCGATTGAAGCCCCCCAGCCCCCCGCCATTGTGGAATGTTCCTCGAATTATCTATCCGTCGTACGCGAAATTTCGTAAAAGTCATTCCCAAATCCGCACCCATACACATAACTTTCCCTAAGTATATGCCCATCCCATCCCATTGCCCATCACCTATGGGTATCCATGGGTTCACCCAACCCATGAAGCTGGGTAAACCAACTTCATGGGTTGGAATTCTTCTCTTGGCCTACTGGCCTGGCCGGCCCGGCTGGTGCGGCTATGTCAGTAGCACGTCACGTGTGCTCGCTCCCACTCCGGTGCGCCTCCGGCGCCGCCCGCCGCCGCCCAGCGCCGGCCGAGCCTGAAAGGTCGGCGCCGCCCGGCTGGCGGGTCGCCGGCGCGGGCGGCGGCCGCCGGGCGCCAGGGGCCGGCGCCGTCCTAACGGCGCGTCCGCGGCGAGACCGGCGCGGCCGGCGCGGCCCCGCTGACCGCCGGGCGGAGCTCCGAGCCCGGCGGAGGCCACGCAGCCTCGGGACCTCGGGGTCGCAGCCGCGAGTCGTCCGGCTCAATTAGCGCGCCATGGTGTTTACACGCCGGCGGGCTGGTGACGAGAGACAGGCGACGTGTTGTGCTCGCCGAGGCGTGGCGCAGTCCAAACAGATGTCATTATCCGTCGCGTTTGTCGGGTGTCGACGGATCGGGTCGCCGCCGTGAACGATTTAAACGCCGCCAGGCGCAGGCACTTCGCAGTCCGGTTTGGTGCGACGCAGGGGGTTTGACGGACTATTACGCAATTGTAAGGAGTCCGCGCGCCCGCAACTCGCCGGCATGGTTTGTCGTGAAAGCTCAGAGAGAAAGGCTGAGAATCGAGCCCATGAGCTGCGTCCGGGGGGAAAAACCATGAACGAGCACATGGCAATGCGTAGCCTCCTCTTCAGTCACTTTTGATTCAGATTTGCTGATGATTGTAGGCATCTCCTACGCACTGCGTATCGTCAAGCTCTGGGATCGCGCGTGACGTTGCTTAATGCTTCCCGTCTGTTGCGTAATAGATTACTGGAAGTGGTCTTCATTTAACTAAGCTGGAATGTGGGAAGAGACGTGGTTTACTGGAAAACGCTTGGTAATGCGTTCAGCACTGGCCCTGTTTGCGGCGGGCGTTTATCACGTATTGCCCTCTGCTCTCACTCGGCTCTTCCATGGACGTTGGCGGGGTGCTGTAAAATGGCCGGTCGCGTTATCCAGCCACATGCAAATTGCAGCCTTGGGCCCAGGCTCTATGAACTGGGGACCGGTAACCCGGTGTCTATTGTTATAGTAGGTATAGACCTATATACCGATTTCACCGCTAAATCACGTGGTCCTGTTATGTCATCGGTTGCCCGTAATGTTTGTTCGAGAGCTGCACCGTGAGGTGCGCAGGAGTCGTCCCATTGGACAGGAGTTGATGACGTCACTGCAGTGGGTGGCCCTATGTCCGTCCCTGATGGCATGCCAGGCGTCCGCACTAGGCACTAACTGTTTCGAGCCTCTCTGGCTGAGGATTGACTTTTTGTCTGGTACTGGATGCAATAAGCTGATTTACGTGGACGATCGTACTGAAGCACAGTCAATGAACAAAACGACACATTTAGAGTTGTCTCGTAAGGTGTGGTCACGGCGCGACCAAAGTTGGTCCGTTGATGTTTACAAAGTCTGGTGGTCCATCATGCCTGTCCGAGGACTCCAAAATATTTTGAGAGCATTGCGATTGTAAGACTGAGATGCGACAATGAGACTAAACAGTTAAAATCGTGAGACGATATACAAGCCCTTGGATTCGTGTGGTCTGGACGCGGGATCATGTACACGTCGCTGTCTTTGTGAACTTACGAAGTTTTTAAACATTCCGATGGATTCTTGACTGGTTTCAACAGGGCTTTGCAGGTTAAAAAGGCGGCGTTGGACACGGCTTGTTCATGATGCTTGGGCATTCAGCACGCTTGAGGATTAGCCGCATTTTACAATAGAAACGATGCCAGTAGAACGGCAAGGTTGCCACGATTGGCTTAAGGATAAAGCTTGTAGTTATTTATCACATTCACTTGGCTACAGTAAGCCACAACATAACCTGCCAACAAAAAGTATCACATCATTTTCTTGGCAACTAAAGACGCGCGCGGACGTCTTCTCAAAACAGATACGCTACATTTCCTGAAGTTGCATGGGCTGTGTTTGCTTAGGCGTCTGACAGCATGCACTCGCGCTGTAACGAGCAGTGTTTTGTCTACTGACCTGGCGATAAAGACCGCAGCCGCCGATGTTATCGAGTGTCATGCCAAGGCCCACAGAACTGATGTCAAGGCTGCTTGTACTGCTGCCAGGTGTTCCCAGTGCCAGGGGCTTTTGTTACCACACCATGATCCGATCTCGTCAGAGGTATCCGTAGATGAGGCTACCGCCCTATCTTGCCAACCACAAGCAATGCGATTTGACCAGAAGAAAATTGTGTTCAACGTTAGTGAGGGCTATGTGAACTTTATGAATGGTGACGATTTTGAGAGCTTGTTTAAACATATGACAGAACCGCAAATTGAAAGTACAACATCTGGCACGGGGTAACAGATAATATTTTACATAATATCTGCGCAGGAATGGCAACAGAAATGCGTCATTAAAGTCTCTAAGGCGTCGCATAGTTGCGCAAGTCTACGTCGCAGTCGCCCGCCTGATCACGCCAAAGCTTGCGCGACAGCACCTTATTCCGTTCTTTGGAGTCCATCACGTTGTCGACGCATTAAAAGCTCACGAAAGGGCGTGGTCACTGCTGGCGTCACATGTAGCTGGCCTGTCCTATTTCGGCTTGTTGGTGGCATGCTATGAGGGAGCAGAAAAGAAACACAGGTTCGTTATCTTTGCAGTCGCCGGGTGAATTTAGAAGTCAGCGGAGGGGAGGACATGGGCATTCACACGGGTTCGTGGCTACCGTCGGGGCTCCTCCTATCCTGTCGCTCGTCCCCTTCGCATCCCTACTTCTGCATCCGAAACTGGTAACGGCCGAAAATGGCCCTCTGGTTCTGCTTCCCTCACTTAACTCAAACAAGATGCGAAACGGCGATAGACAGGTCAGTTACGTAAAACTCAAGGCCATTGTCGCACTAAATTAACGAATATGACCTCCATTAATTCAGCGCTCGGTGCACCTGGCAATCATATTTCATTATCATATTGCGCATCACACTTCCAGCAATTTGCAACACGCTTTCCTAGTTCAATACCGCAGTTGCTTTTCAACGTGAGTTTTATTTCAGCCGGTCAGGCTCAGATGAGCACAACCAGTCGCGCTCAGACGAGGGCCGCGGTTTCTCATCGCCAGTGGCGATGAGAGACAGCAGCATTTTCTTCTCCAGGTTTCAGCAAATTCTTTTTGGTAACGATATCCCATTACAAACTCTTGCATACACCTCTGTGCAGTCTCCTAACTTTATACAATTCATACCTTGGGAGCCTGGGAGCCTGCTGAATGATATTCTATATCAAGGACATGCGGCACTTTTGCAGCGGCACTTTTGTGCTCACTGACGATAGGAATCATTTCAGGCCATGCGATGATCTCGTATGAGCTCAGCTTGCATGGTGGTAATCGGTGGCTGCATACTTCGGACAAAAGGACTTTTCTCTGACGACATGCGCCACCCAAATCAGGGATTACAAAAACGTGCTTTTATCTCATTTTCCCGCACCTGACAACACAACTACAGGAGAGAGAGAGAGAGAGAGAGAGAGAGAGAGAGGAGAGAGAGAGAGAGAGAGAGAGAGAGAGAGAGAGAGAGAGAGAGAGAGAGAGAGAGAGAGAGAGAGAGAGAGAGAGAGAGAGAGAGAGAGGGGGGGGGGGGAGAGAAAGAGAGAACGACCGTCCTGACGACGTCAACTGCGACAACAGCAGTTGCTGAGGACTTGGTAGCTCTCTTGGTAGTTCTGGGGTCAAGAAAGAGAAAATGTGGCGGGCAAAGAACGTTGACAGCTTATTCCGGACTCGAAAATGATTAACACAAATCTCCTTATCGTATTTTGATGACGTTGCAGTGGCACTACGCAGTGTTATTATTAGACTTAATGGTCCTGAGGTTTCATCTGTGTCTTTTTGAAACATGCCTACAGGTGGGACACTCCATTTACAGCTTGAACCACATCTTAGGTTCCCACTGGATCCGCTTTAAGCTCTGTTTGAGTGACATTTGCCGCATTTCCAGGTTTTACATAGCATGACATCGCGTGAAGAACTGGCCATGGATTTCAACCGTCAGGATAAGGACTCGATAACGTTCGGCAAGCGGTCGGGCTGTTTCATGAACCGCATGTGCTCGCTGCTGCTGCTGCTGCTCTTCCTCTGCAGCCTGGTGGCCACCGGCCTCCTGGTGCACTACCTGGCTCCCGGCTGCCGACCTGACCAGGCTGGCGAGTCTGGTTTGCGCCGCGGCTCCGCCGCCGAAGCCCAGCCGGGCCCCAAACCAGGACCCAAAACGAAACCGGGCCCGCAGCCGAAGCCGGAGCCGGAGCCGGAGCCGGAGCCGAAGCCGGAGCCGGAGCCGGAACCGGAGCCGGAGCCGGCGCCGGAGCTTGTGCCGGCGCCAGAGCCGGAGCCTGAGCCGAAGCCGGAGCCGGAGCCACCGGCTAAGGTGCGCGACGTGCGTCTGCCGCTACACCTGGTGCCCGAGGCGTACCAGGTGCGCCTGCTACCCTTCATCGAGGAGGGCAACTTCACCTTCAGCGGCGAAGTTACCATGCGCCTGCGCGCCGAGCATTCGGGGAGCAACGTCACCGTCCACGTCAAGGACATGACGGTGTACAACGATTCCGTGACCGTGCGAGACGTGACTACGGGTACTTCGCTGGACATCGCAGGCGTCCGGTACGACGCCGACCGCGAATTCTTCATCGTGCTGCTGTCGCAGCCAGTCACAGCACAGCACAAGTACGACGTCTTCATCCGCTTCGTCGGCAGTCTGAGCGACAAGCTGTCTGGCTTCTACAGGAGCAGCTACCTGGACCCGCAAGGCCAGAAAAGGTAGGATGCCTCTGGCAGGGACGTGCGCGAGCGCTTGTTCCGTAACGCTCATTGGACACTGGGGTTGAGGACTGCACCGTGTTTCGCCGCCCGCGGGCATTTGAAGACCGCCGTGCGATTCGGGACCGTCCGTTCGGGCTCTTCCAGCGGTTGCACCCAGTGATGGGCGCACCCGCATTCGTCCAAGGTTCCCCAAGGTCATCAGATGAGGCCACAGCTCCATGATGTATTCCAGTCACAACAGTTCAACGCCTGCAGCTGCGGCCCATCATTAATCAGCATCCACTGCCACACGTACACTACGAACTCTGAACAATAACAGTTTCATCGTGCGGATGGAGAGCAAGGTCACTGTGTTGCACACCTTTTTTTCTCGCCTGGAGGAAACACGTTGCAAACTTAAACCTCAAGTGAGTCCCGTAGTACCAATCCGGCCATATGCTCGCTTACTTTTTTCACGCTACTGCGTGACAATTGATTGTGCTTCGCAGGTTAGTGAACTACATTGACGGCATTCGCTAACCGTCTTGCCGTCTGATGCGTAAAATCTAGCCTCTTCAATGTCCTGTTTGCGTCAGGATCCAACTTAACGTCTTTTTTTAAACTAGCCCCGAAGTGGTGATTGGTCCCCACACACCAACGACGAAATTCCAGGGAGGAAAAGATGAGAGCTGTGCAGGGCAGTCTGCCAGGCCAGTCTCACAAGGACAGCAGCCTAATGCGCTTTCTCCATGACCTAACTCCCACAGCCAGCTAACTGCGACAATGCGTCCGGGATTCCCCGAACCCGGTCCGCGTGAAGCGACTGGGGAAATTCCGCTCTCTCTCCGCCTGTTGTGAGAAGCGCTGGCAACTGGCCGCGAGACCGGCCCGCTTTGTTTGGACGACAGCGACTTACATGAAATTGGCCGGCGGCCGAGCGACCGGTCACTCCTGTTTGGTCGGGTTATCTGCCAGCAGTCTCTCGGCCGGTGGTCCTTGTTACGCCGGTATTGGCGGCAGGGTCAGGCGGGTCACCGTCCCGGACAGGTGCAATCTGCACCCACCAATGAAGCTCTCACTCCCGTGGTCAGCTGGTCTGACCCATCACTGGCTCTGCTCACCCCTGTGGTCAGCTGATCTGCCCCATCACTGGGTCTTCTCACTCCTGTGGTCAGCTGGTCTGACCCGTCACTGTGGTCAGATCAGCTTTCCGGTCCCTGCTCCCAGCGCCGGCGCCGTGGCTAGGCCGCCCCAGTCGCGCTGCTGCGTCCGCGCCGCGCAGGCCTCCTCCACCGCGGCCTCCGCCGCCGGCATAGTTGGCCGGTGCGTCTGCGCGGGAAGAGCGTCCGCGTCTGCGGTCCTGGGCCGCTCATTTGGAGGCGCGGCGGTAGCGGTCAGGCGTCGCCTCGGGCCCGCCCGAAGCCGGCCGGCGCGCGACCGTGCGGCGCCGGCGAATTTGGGAGAGCTGAATGGAAAAGTGACTGTTGACGGCCGGGGTGCCGGGGCGTTGGGGAGGGATGAAAGGGAAGAGGACAGCTAAGCATCGGGGTTGGGGGGGGGGGGGGGATGGAAGCAGATGAGCCCTGCCGAATCATGTGGCTCGCGCGCGACTGTCGGTCGGCGGCGGACCGCGAGGAAGAACGAGCATTGGAGACGTGAGCGGCTTGAGCACGAACAATCACTGGGGAGCTGAGCGGATCAAACAGTACCGATTACTTGGGACTTCCCATTCGCACGCAGGAAAGCTGCAAGAGAACCGATTATTTGGGGACTAACCATTCACTCTCAGGAAAGCTGTAAGAGAACTGCACGATAGGGGAAAACCGACTACGGAGAAACTGGGCGGCACGAGGAGAGCAACCGCAGAGAGAGTTTGTGACACAGGATGGGGGATGGGGGCGGGAGAGGCACGTCTACGGTGAAAGCGCCCGACGCATGCAAAGTGCAATGCCGGGGGCCGCTTGCGGCCGAAGGTAGGCGTCACTACTCACGTGGATGTGCTTTGTGTTGGCTGCCTCATATGGGCTGTCAATAGGAATCCGAGGTGTGTTGCCCCGGCCCGTCTCAACTTCGCTCCAGAGCGGCGCTCAGTCGACTGACGCCCACACCTTCCGCCGGCGGGCGCGCCAATACCGGATGCACTTGTGCTACCTCCGTCTCGCTGGTGCACGAAATGAGATTTCGAGACGGCTTCGTTGCGAGGCGTTTTATTGGAAATGCACGCTACCGACATGCAGGGCGGTTTTTCTTGGGGAGCGTGCGGCTGCGTTGCCGCAGCGGTAGTGGTGCGTAGCGACTGCCGCGGCAGTGGCCGTGCGTAGCTGCGCTGCCACAGCGGTGGTCGTGCGCAGCTGATGTCGGTGCAGTCAGCTCCTGGAAACATCCGCACCCGGCCCGGCCGTACATGGCTGGATCATGAGCTGTCGCCAGAGTAGCGAGTTGGTGCCTTTGCTGCTTCCAAACCAGTCTGGTAAAGGTGTTAGTAGGAGTAGACATGTTTGTAAGCAGTTGTTCATGCACCGCTCGTTGGCGCCTACATCCTTATATGCTCGTTTGCAGACATTTACATAACGGCCCCTTTTTCGTGGCACGTATATCACGCTATTCTACGGATAACATAAAAAAGAGTGGCGGTAGTCTGGCAGGTCAAACATGGGTTGCACGATGCATATGCCTTGAAATAGCACTTTGTAAAGACTGTACAAAGCATTTGTGGGCGCCGCTACACTTTTTGGATGTAGCACTGCTTCGGCAGGTAACGAAAATGCCCATGCAGGCTTTGCAAGATGGTGAAAAGCACGACACTTGCCTGGTAAATGAATCAAAGTGACTTACCCTGATAGTTCACTTGAATGTTATTATATAGAGCACTTATCAATTGCTTGTTTGTGCTATAAACAGCACCCACAGCCCCATCACTTACACCATGGCATTGCCCATGAATAAATGTTCGCGGACAGCACTTTTTTGCTTAGCACGTTTACGATCAATCTTACCGCACTACTCACTTTTTATTTACAAGCCTACACCAAAACAGCGTTATTCGGGTGCAGTTTAAACGCTGCTCAATGTCCTGAGGACATAAGTGCCCAGTTCCCCTTCGATGCCCATTATCGGCATTGATGATCGTACAATCCTGGTAAATCGTTTTCCAAGATGACAATCGACTGTAGACAAATGCCCACGAGAGCATTTAGTCATTTGTCGCCGGCGCATCGAGTCCAGCGAGCTAATACAGTGGGATGCGCACCGTGCCGACTTTTCCACGGCTGCCATTGTGCATGGAATGTCTGGCTCGCCCGTGATTGTTTATAGTGAAGCACGAATGGTCCCATAAACAACTTACTCGGAAATGGACAAGGTTGACCGCAATCTAAACACGTCAGATCGCATCCGGCTGGGCCCTGTTAACAACGACGCAGCCTCCGTCCCAACTAGAATGGGGCCTGTTTATTCCTCGGGCACACGCGCACGGTCAAGGCTCTTTGTCTTACACTTGACTTTGAATGTGCTCGTTATAGGCATGCTGTAAGCTTGTGAAAGCTGCCATTGTTTTTTTCTTCATGTATTGCACTCATGATTAGGCGCACGTCGAGCGACTCGGCAAATGTTTTCTGATTTTCTGATTGGTCAAGAGCACTGGTTCTGCATTGCTGTTTTGCTGGTGGCCTGTCTCGGGAAGTGGTTCAGTGTTCTCACAAGACATGAGTGGCATTGAGAACGGAAAAAGTAGATTGGAGAAAAATTGTTCCAGCACTTGTCAGTTGGAAATTCATTTGGTGCAAGATCAGTACTGTAGTCAACGGACAGCACGGGGCGCACTGCTGTGGTCTTTTAAAAACGTGAAAGGGCAACGGCAGCAGTTTTTAGTCTATTATGCTCCAATAGCAGCTTCCACCTCACGCGCAATCACCTTTTCGTTCCTCTCCCCGTCGTTCAGAACCGTTCTGCACTATTTGTTAAATTTCGTCAGCCGGTGCGGAAGTTTCCTGTCTCTTGGTGTGATACAAGCTAGCACATTTTTCGCATCCCGCTATTTTCTTGACATTCACGTATGATTAACCGTAAAATTGTTATTTGGGTGAGAATCGCTGTGTGTCTGATGTGAAAACTTCAAAAAACATAAAGCTTTCGGAACAAGGGTCACACAATATAGCGGATGCTCCGTTTTAATGGGCAATTTAATCCGATAGGCTTTTTAAAAACTCAGTAACTAAAAGCACAAAAAGACGTAAACAACCTACTAACTCAAATTAGATAACACCTGCTAACAGCGATATGAACAGCATAACAGTCGTTCCAGGACAAAGCAAAAATACTTTTGCTAGTTTGCGTTCTGAGCCCTGCCCCTTTGAGTTGCATACTTCTGCTGTGAATTCTCGGCCAAATGGGTTCTGGAAAAATGCTGTGTTACATCGCATAGAGGAACAGCAGGTCGGTAAAAAGCAAGGACGGGTGGATGATGGATTTTCGTTTTGGTATGAATAGCAGATCAGCAAAAACCAAGGACAGGTGGATCCCGATTTTCGTGTCCCTGGATGTGAGGTGCGGGCCCGTGGGTTCTACGTCTCAGACGAGGTGTGAGCACTACCCAGCGCCACCTAATGCAGCCTGATGAGGGTAGTTTGCTGCGGACGCCAGCGGACGTATGCTCTCTACACATTGGTAAGCAGTTCGCGGCAGGCTGGCCTCTGCCTGAGTAAATCAAAACTTAGTTGATGCACGGCACATTACTTAAGTCTGTGAAGTGTTGTGGACCGTCTCAACGTGTCTGGTGTAAGCAACTGTAATCGGGAACGGGGGGGGGGGGGGGTCAAGAAAAGGGGCGCAGCGAGAGCATTGTAACGCACGCGCACGGTGCGCTCAACTACCGAGGTGGAATGAGGGGCTGCTGGGCCCGCAATACCAAGGTACTGGGTTCGAGGCCAGGGGCGGTCGCGGTGTTTCGTCTGGCTTGTAAGGAAGGGGATGCTGGTTACCAGACAAAATGGGTCAACCTATCCCATGCGGCCTTGTTGAGGTTTTGATCGGCTGTAGGAGCAAGGTCTTCTGGCAACTGTCCAGACCGGCGTCCACCTGATTACCGTGGCGGCACATACTACACGACACATAACGTGCTCCGCGGTCCTGTCTGACGAGCGAATCGCTGGGAAGCTTACCCGATGGACTGGATCGGTTACGCTGGGTGAGGGGATCAAGGAACACGCAGCAAGCGACGCTTTTCACCTGCGAGGGACAAGGAACTCAAATCGTAAGGATTAGCGGGACCACAGAAAGTAGTAGGACGAAATGGTGTGCATTGATTACAACGGGCACGATCCTTGTTCAAATCTGTAATTAAAGTCAGGGTTCTATTATGAACATTATGAGCGAATAAGTGCATTAGGATCAACACATATTTCATCTAATTTGACACAGACAGCCTTGATCCAGGCCGTGTGATTTGCAGTCAGTAGAGTTCCAACAGCCTCCAGCCGACCTTCAAACTTGTGTTCCTGGTTTTTAGAATGTCTAGGATTGTATTCAGTCTCATTACGCCCCCCTCCCCTTCGGCTCACGCACGCGCTATCAGATCACAGTGCGTCGTCCTGTGCTGGCCGGGACCGTGAGATGACTGGTGACCTATGATGACCCCGGTCTGTCGGACGGCTGGTGGCCTGTGACGCCCCGGTCCATGGGACGGCTGGTGACCTGTGACGCCCCGGTCCATGGGACGGCTGGTGGCCTGTGACGCCCCGGTCCATGGGACGGCTGGTGGCCTGTGACGCCCCGGTCCATGGGACGGCTGGTGACCTGTGACGCCCCGGTCCATGGGACGGCTGGTGGCCTGTGACGCCCCGGTCCATGGGACGGCTGGTGACCTGTGGTGAACCGGCAGGTGGCTTGCGGTGACCCAGTTCCAGCCGACTGATGCCCGCCAGGCCTTCCCATGCCTGGACGAACCGGCGCTCAAGGCCACCTTTGAGGTTACTCTGGGTCATTCCAAAGAGATGACATCGGCTTCAAACATGCCCATCAAGAGAACAGAACCTATGTAAGCCAATTTGAACGATAGCATGTGTTGTCTGACAATGTTCAGTGTTCACCGCGAGTTATTTTAATGTTGCCTGTTATTAAGATCAACATTTGTGTCGTCCTGTCTATTTTGAATAAGCAGTTAATGCGTGCATATTGCATGGTTTTAGAATCACTCACTGCTCCAGCTGTTGGACTGAGGACGGCAATGACCAAGGGTCCCACCAGCCTCAGCGTTGTCGCCGTCATGCCCCTCCCTTAGCGAGTCCACTGCATGCAGAGGTGGGCGATCATGTCACTGACATCGTTCTGTGGCTACAGTGACGGCATGCCCGGCTTCGTATGGGACATATACGAGAAGTCGGTGCCCATGTCGACATACCTGGTCGCCTTCCTGGTCTCCGATCTGGCTGTCAAGGAGGCGGACCCCGGAGTCAGCGACACGCTTTTCAGAGGTGAATGATGTTTTTTTTGGAAGTTTGTAGTGGTCTGCTCAGGTCAGCGGCCTTTTCATTGTTCAGTAATGCGCCCTTCAGAGTTAGTCGTCTTCGCCTTCAGAGGTCACTTGTCATTGGCACCATAGATGGAGTTATGGGCCCCATTATCAGAGGTCGGCGATGCCCTCTGGACAATCCTATGATGTCTTCATGGGTTTGTGGTTTCCTCGCTGTGCGACAAATTCCCTGACAAACACCCTGCCCTTCCCCAATGCACCATTCTTCTTGAGCAATATCAACGCTTGATATCACTACCGAACAGCTGGATCGAGCCTCTCTGTCTGCCCCCCCCCCCCCCCCCTCCAGGCCAGCACCCCCAGCAGCTAACCTGATGTGGACCTGGCCGCGACTGGCCGGGTTGGATCTGACCGTGCCTGACTTGTGGTAGGGCTGTCTGTGTGTGCCATGCCAGCTGGAGCATGCCCGCCGGCGGCCTACCTGACCTGTCACTGTCGCGCAGTGTGGGCGCGGCCTTCGGCTATTGACCAGGCCAACTACGCCCGGAGCATCGGACCCCAGATCCTCGAGTACTTCGAGGGCTTCTTCAAGACCGACTTCCCTCTGCCTAAGCAGGACATGGCTGCTCTGCCAGACTTCGCCGCTGGTGCTATGGAGAACTGGGGTCTGATCACCTACAGGTCAGCCCACCGTACGGGTGGTGAGGCTGGTTCGCAGCGCTGGCGAGAAACCACTAAAACGTCCATGATCGTAGGCATCCATTCCCCATATCATCCAAAATCACAACATCCAGCGTTCATGACATTCAAAGTGCGTCCCATTCCGCGCCCATTGGCGGAGTTCATAGCATCAAGCTGGGAACGTCCAAGGTCATAGCATCCGAAGTTTTTAGCATCCAGCGATCATGCCGTCCAGTTGATAAGCTTTGAATGGCATTGTTCTCCAGCCTTTGGAAGTCATAAACGTCCTATGGTGAACGTTGAAGTCATATGGTGAACTTTTGATATTGTGGTTTTGGATGCTGCTAGCTTTGATGCTGTGATTCTCCTCTGTCAAGGAACATTGGACGACTTTTGGATGTTATGAACGCTGGATGCTGCCATTTTGAACGTTTCGACCATTGGACGTTATGATCTCTGGATGTTTCAACACGTATCCCAGCTGGCAGATGTTTGGTCGTCTGGTAATGCAGGAAGCGCAAGTGATATCACTAGGAGCGTTCTGGACTGTGTATCAAATGCCTCAAGTTAGCTTCATACGTATCGCATGCATACGGCTCTGGCCTGGCCGCGATTATCTGTCGGTTCCACGCGTAGCACCTACAGGTGTCGGGAAGTTGTATTACAAGTAACGTACTTTACTTTCTAACGTCATGACGGAATTCATAGTTTGGTTCCTTATCTCGTCATGTATTGATCATGCCGCGAAGATATGCATCAGCTGTTGGAAGGCTGTTTTCCTTAGCGGAAGCCAATTTATATAACAAACGAAAGCACTGGGAAACACTGTGAGAACTGAAATGTAATTTTGTGTCAGCCGTAGCAACATAAGGAAGTCTGCCTTTCCTGAAATCATTTATGCGTCGCAACGTTCCTGAAGCTGCAGACACGCCAGCAGTACAAATGAAAATGCAGGTGTCTTTGTGCGCAGGGAGACGGCTATGCTGTACGACCCGAAGGTGTCTTCTGCCAAGAACAAGCAGCGTGTGGCGGTGGTGGTGTCGCATGAGCTGGCTCACCAGTGGTTCGGAAACCTGGTGACGCCCAGCTGGTGGACCGACCTCTGGCTGAACGAAGGCTTCGCCAGCTACGTCGAGTACCTCGGAGTCGACAAGGTCGGTAAAACGCCCGCTGGATGGGTTGGACATGGGTGGAAGTGGAGATGTGGATATGGGGGGTCTCACAGAGTGCCGTCTTTCTGGAAGAACACAGTTAAGCGGTGCAAGCTCATGAGAGTGAGCAGTAGAGAATCAAGAGAGAGGGTAACAGTAAGCACATAGCGACGTGGTCAGCGACAGGAAAATCCTAGGTACATCTCTCTGTAAACTGAGAGGATGGGAGGGAAGGGAAGAAGGGCAATGCCTTCGCATGCACCCGTCCATGGCTCTTTCGGCCATGCAGGCGGGCAGACAGAGAGAACGAGTGGGTGAGTAAGTTAGTAGGACCCATGCGCGGCTCCCAGTTGAGGGCCGTCAAGATAGGCGTGTCTGGACTGCGGCTCCTTAAGCTGCGGCGCTTCGGGCCTTCCTTGGCGGCACTGCCGCCAGCTGTCTGTCTGTCTTGGTGAGCACTCCAGGCGTCCGTGGCTTGACATGTGACGACGCGTCAGCCCAGGATCGCTCCGTAGTATATGACCACACTTCGGTGGGCAGGGGGGGGGGGGGGGCGAGTTGCCTCGCGACGTCAAGATACTTTGCAGCGAGATGGATGGGTTCCGAATGGCCGCTGCAGCGCCAAGACCACACGTTGCGAGCTAGCAGCGTGCTCTGTTTTGACGGTGTGCATATTTGTATGCATAGCGCTAAATGACACCTTCCGCCCGACGCCAGCGGTGTCCCTTGACCTCCACTGTTTGTTTCTCTTCTGACGCACGTTTTGGCCGTCCAGTGCAAAGACGACAACGAATGGCGTTTTCACATCGCCGCGTAGTAATCTCGCTTTTTACGACCGTGCGGAATCGCAGCGCGCCGGAAACTGAGCCCGCGAGCCCGACCGACCCTGCAGTGATTCGAGCGGAAATGAACTCCGGAAATGGCCGGGGCGTTGGGTCACGCACAATAAAACGCTGAGCGTTGTAGGGGTGTGGTTCATAAAATGACATGCTGAAACTCCACGAATAAAATGATCGTCCCTAATTAGCCAGAATTCGTCCCTAAATAGCCGCAATTTTTTAGGATTGCTGTTGTCAATATGCTTCTTCCTTATACGCCCGATCGGCCTGCGACGTACTTTTTTTTGCGAAAATACGTCTACTGCAGATTGTGGAGAGAGCATGACAGCGCGTGCCCTGTCTAGACGAGCGGAGCTATGTGCGGACGACAGAAGTCTGTCATGCCATCACAATGCGGACTTGTTTGCGCATTCAAATGAGAGAAATGTGACCAGAAAACCCGTCCAAACTCCATTTCGCATGCGTGTCCAGAACCAGTTCAAAGGATGTGTGTCATGTTGGCTCATGGGAGTTAGCAATGCTACATTTCCTGGTCTTTTGAGATGCAATAGATAATGAAACGGGTAGCTATTTCTCTTCATGTATCACACATCGTGAGTAAACGCTGGCATCAAAAACGTCCAATGGCGGATAATTTGGCCGTAACGGGTCGAGCTGGTGGTTTTTTTTTTAAACCGGAGATACTTGCCACCGTCATCTAAACCTTGTTTTATACCGTACCAATCAAAGTAAATTTTGCATCAACTATTACCAGACAGAGATAAATGAAAGGATATGCAACGTAAGGCAAAACATGTACGGCGTGCTCTTGCTCTTGCTCTAACGACGTATTAGAAATATTGTCTATTAATGGGCGCCTTGAGCCCCCTGCGGCTTCTGCTGAGTGTTTGACTGATTCCTTATTGCGACAGCTTTTATAACAGTCAGATGGATAGTTCCAGGCTGTTAGCTAACAGTGCTCCTAATATCACAACAGAGATTCAGTCGAAGCACACTCAATTAAAACATCAACTTACCATCACGTTGGCGTGTCTCTCAGACTCCAGCTAGGCTGGAGAGCATATCCGTCCGCCCGACTGTGAGAAGTTTTTAAGCTGGCAAGATGCCTTTTTTAAGCAACGAAGCTGGCGGTACGCCAGCCAGGTCAGCAAAAGCACCTGCACTTCCAGGCGGTCTGCATGATGTACCCAACACACCGCCGTGCATTCGAGCGGTCTTCAGACCATCAGGCACCCCAATTCTCGCCGGTCGGCGGGCGTTCCATTCGGGTCTGTCCTCAGCTGCATATGGCGCGCGTGGGCCTGACCCCGTGGGAACAGTGGGACCAGCACAGCGCCAGCGTCGCCGGCCGGGGTCCTCGCTGTCACACATTTCCATCAGGCTCGACGCGCGTCGAGGCTCGTCGCGTCTGGCGGCTGCTTTTGGAGCGCGCCGCCGTCTCGGCCGCGCGTCAGCCGGCCGCCGGATCCCCAGGGCGCCACTGAGGCCGGTCGGGTGACGTCTCCGCCCCCGTCGGCTCAGGTTAGCCGGCCGCCGCCGCCGCCGCACCTGGGCCCCAGCTGGGCGATACGCACGCCGGCCGACCGCACCCCCCGCTCATTACGACGCGCGCTAACCCCGTGCTGGCCGTCGTCATTAGCGTCGCGGGAGGGCGTCGTTATCGACGGTCTCGCTTCCGGGTTTCTGTTGGCGGAGTGTTGATAACGAGACGAGTGACGAGCATGTGTGAAGTTGCGTCATTGAACACAACGACTGTTGGCTTCGGTTGTTACCCGCGGGGCCATGGGGTGAGGTAGCCTGTTACGTCAACTAACCCGAAGTCGCGCAGCTGCGGCGGCCGAGCCCGGCTAGGCTTGGCTGGTCTACACTTTTGGCTGGCTTGTATATCTGCAGCTACTGATAGCACCATCATGCAGCATTCATTTAAAACGGCATATTTACGGTTGACGACAGATCTAGCTTCTCTCTTGCTCTAAGTCTAGCTCTCTCTCTCTCTCTCTCTCTGTGTGTGTGTGTGTGTGTGTGTGTGTGTGTGTGTGTGTGTGTGTGTGTGTGTGTGTGTGTGTGTGCGTGTGCGTGTGCGTGTGCGTGTGCGTGTGCGTGTGCGTGTGCGTGTGCGTGTGTGTTGACTGCAATCTTGGTGATTTCTTCGAATGCTGAAAGCAGCTGACGGAAGATGTAACTTAAAATTATATCAACATTTACTATCACTTAAAGTGTACTCGCTCATTTTAAGCGATAATGTGGCACTTCATGTCACCGGCTAGCCCACCTTCGAACGATGACGAGAATATGAATAAAAATCCAATGAAGCTGCGCGCATGACATGATGACGGCCGGAGATATGAGTGTAGGACGCTCATGTGGTTGGGATATGCCAGTATAACCCTGGTAATGCATCGCGATATCCGTCGAGTGTCCACCCTTTTGCCACGGCAATACAGGTCGTGGGGTTTCGCTACGCTGACCCAGAAGGTTCATCGATGTCTGCTCATATAGCGGTGGCCCCGGCGGTATTGAATTAAGGCTCAGTGGCGCGCCTGGTCTGCGTCGGCGGCGGCGCTTTTGACGCCCGTGCGCCGATCGCAACGCCGCGCCGCGCCGGCCAACATCAAAGCAGCCGCCCGCTTCCAGTCGTCAGCGGGCACATCAAACAGAGGCCGCGCATCTGGCGCGGCGTCGCCGAGCGCTGCGCGTGTATGCAAACACGGTGCCGTTTGTGTGGTCTCCCGAGAATGGCCGATGGAAGCGGACAGGCCTGGCGTCTGACGGCGCGGCGGTCCCGCCGCAGGGCTGGGTCTTTGGACTACAGCGGTCTCGCCGCAGAGCTAGTCCTCGGGGCGTCAACGGTCCCGCAACCGAGCTGGTCCTCAGGACGTCAAGGGTCCCGCCGCCTGGCTGGTCCTCCGGACCGCAGCGGCCCCGCCGCCGGTATGGTCCTCAGGACAGCAGCGTCGGTCCTTCGGACCGCAGCGGTCCCGCCGTCGGGTTGGCCCTTCGGACCGCAGCGGTCCAGCCCCGTGGCCAGGGAAGGCGGGCGGCCCCTGGCTGCCGGCCGGTGGGGGCCCCTCCGCCCTGCGGTCGGCCGCTGAGCCGACGCGGCGTCGCTGCGGGGAAAACTGGCTGGCGGGATCAAGCATTTCTAGCAACGACATGGCATGCGAGTCGGGAGCTGGAAATCCCACACCGATGATCCGTGACCGGAGAGCTACTGATGCTGATGGTGCGTGGCTGGCAGTAACTAGAAAGCCAATGTGAATCCTATACCAGCAACGTGGTCCAATATTAATGTGCACATTTTGTGCAAACCTTAAACATTATATGCATTCGAATGCCTCCGTATGCATTGACATGTTTCCATCCGTATGCGAACGTTTCGAAATGTTTGACTGCGACTCTGCACCCGGGCTGCAGGTGGAGCCGTCGTGGCGCATGATGGAGCAATTTATCACATCAGATTTGCAGCGCGTGATGACAACGGACGCGCTGGAGACATCTCACCCCATCTCCATCGTCGTCCACCACCCTGATGAGATCAATGAGATTTTCGACCACATCTCCTACGAGAAGGGTGAGCTGCCTTACTTCACTGACCTGGTCTTGTGGTCGGTGTGACGTTGGGCGGATTAGCTGATGTTGATGATTGCCTTCGCTTATCGGAGAGTGGGCTGTACCAATTCGTTGGTCCTTGGTAATGCCGCGTTTTGGGCTCCTGCGGCGTTGGCCTAATGTAGAGTCACGTTTACAAATTCACATTTTCACTTGACTAATGCCGAGTCACGTTTAAATGTTGTGTTTTGCTCGTCTCGTGCACTGTTGAGCTAGGATGGTCAACCAATAAAATCATCATATAATGATAAATGTTATTTCTGCATGCATGTATGTACCTTTGGCTGAAATAAATTATCCGCTGGCCTCTAACACGACGCGACTTACAAGTCACACGGATGCTTCTAAAAATGGGCTCGAAAGTGACGGATGCCGGTGTCGCAGGCGCCTCCATTATCCGTATGATGACGCACTACCTGACTGTGGAGACCATGCGGAACGGTCTTGCCAACTACCTGAACGACAGGTGAGACGATCTGGCCAACCTCCTGAGCGACAGGTGAGACAGCTTGGGCCCGGACGGCCCGGAGCCTGGCTCCACTGGCCACGCTGAGATGCGCGGTTCTCCCAGCCCCGACGGCCACGCTGAGCAGCCCGGCCCCATCCGCGCAGGCCCGTGACACGGCACCGTCGCCTCCCAGCCGACAGGAAAACACACGTCAGCTGGGCGGGGCGACGGTCCGCTTTTTGTGTTCACGCTCGAGGACAGCCGTCAGCCAGGCGAGCACTGTCCGGCACAGTTCGTGGTTGGAATCGTAATTTGCTGGCGCTGCGCTCAGTCCTCGAAGTCCGCTTCAGTGAGGAGGCACGCCAGGACGTGTGGCAACGGGCATGATACGCATACAAAGTCGCCGGCCAACTTGTTCGGAGATCAGGTGTCGGAATGGCGACATGCTGGGATGGCGGCGTGTTCAAGTCACTCTTTACTTTGACGACGCACAACAAGGCTGCGAGTTACCATGCGTAAAGTAGACCTCAGCGACGCTTCACTTGCAAAGTGCTGTCTGGACGGCCTTGACATGTACAGATTTGCTGAAGGCACATGGTGAGCTGGCCGCATCAAGTTATCCTGTCTCGTGCATGACATATTCTTCTGAAGTCTGTAAACTTACACCGACACAGCCCGCCCAGAGTTACGTAATCGGCTGGCGTTTTACTGTGACCTGGGTATGCCTTACGTCTCAACAATGGTTTTGTAGTGATGAACGATAGCTGGGTAACCAATTCCGTGGACGACGTCTGTTCCAAGGCCAGCGAAATCGTTGGCTCTTGGAAACCACTCAACCGTAGACCCGGAGGCTGTGTTACAGCTGGTCCTGTCAGCATGTCAATAAAGCCAGTCGTTTTCAAGCCTGTACAATAACGTGATGCTGTCCAGCATCAGCCAGCAAGACCGGCGAATCTACCACGGCCCACGTCTAACGCTTCTCGCTTCTGTACGCTCAGAAAGTACCAGGGCGCCACGCAAGACGACTTGTGGCACTTCCTGACGGAGCAGGCGCACAAGGACGGCACCCTGGCGCCTGATATCACCGTGAAGCAGATCATGGACAGCTGGACGCTGCAGATGGGCTACCCCGTGGTGGAGGTGAAGCGGAACTACGGCGATGGCACGGCGCAGCTGACGCAGGTGAGCACCGGGCAGGAGCGCAGCTGACGCAGGTGAGTACCGGGCAGGAGCGCAACTGACGCAGGTGAGCACCGGGCAGGAGCGCAGCTGACGCAGGTGAGCACCGGGCAGGAGTGCAGCTGCCGCAGGTGAACGCGGGCAGACACGGTGGCACGGACTCTAACCTAACCTAACCCACCACCGCAACTTCCCCGTTCAGTGGAGCGACCAGTGGCGAATACCTCAGCTGAGAATCTCTTTCGGTATCTGTCCGACTTATGGTTGCTCTGCTCTTGTCGACCCTCAGTCGAATAATTTGCGCGCTGAGGTTTTCTCTGGCATTGCATCACGCGAAGATTCTTAACGACGGTTAAGGGCATGTTGGTACCCAGAGGGTGCGTCTTATGTAGGTCGCAGCGATATGCTCATTCCAAGTTAGCATGACGTACATGACTGGATAATCTGTGTTCAATGTCTGCTGGCTCAATAGGTCTCGCTTCTTAATCAAGTATCGAGTTATGTCGACTGTGAAATCGGCGATACTCTTGAAACCAGCTAATTGATGAACCCAACCAACCCTCAAGGCATCATTTGCTTTCGGATAACCAGCTTTGAACGTTTTTGTTTGGAATAGAGATCCTGGGATACATAGGCGGACTGTCCCGGTTTAACTCACGCTCGTGTGGGCTCCATTCGACCCCAAAATGTTTTTTTAGAATGGTTCCAGAAGACAAGGAGTAGCTGCGCCAAACGTCGCATCGCTTTAGCCAATGAAATTGCCAATCTTTTGGCATTACAAAATGTGTTGTGTCTTATAAATTCGCGGACCTATGGCAGGTGAAAAACAGGCCATGGCTATCAGCGAAGGCATCCCCTACGGAATCGCACAGTGAAATACGAGACGGTGTGTTAGATGAGCTCATGCATCATTGAGGCAGTTTCTTTGACAACTAGACAACTGAATTTAGGATTACGACTTATCCATTGACCGTGGATCGGGCATGTCAAAACCAAAGTGTTTTCACTGAAGACATTGCTTTGCACGAGTAGCTTTTGACGCACGTTTCTAAATTATTCAGCAGAGGGTGGTCAACAAATGTGTTATTTGAACTTCATAAAGGTAAGAAAAGGTCACGAACCTTAGGTGACACCGATCAACGTTTTGTCTTTTTAAGAATATGCCGCCTAACGTATCCCTTGACGCTTGTCGCAATTGAAAAAATTAAATAACATCGAGGGTTTAGGTCACTGTGACCTTCTGAACGTCAAATAAAGTCACTCATCTACAATAAACACCCGTGACCGTTTACTTAGTAGAGATATATAGGCTCAAAATGGTTGCATAAGGAGGTCTGAGGGACCTTCGGCACCGATTTGGATTTTGACCTGTTTGACCTTACTTGTAGGTTAACATAAAATTCAAAGCCTAGGGGCCTCACAGGTATGTGGTCTCACACAAGTGAGACCACATACAGGTTTATCCATCTCGTAATTTCATTGCGTCTAACTTCTGCAGTTTTTGAGATATCAGGGGTCAAATTGTCCCCATACCCCACCTGAGCGGCGTCGTGTTCAACCGGCCGCCCCAGCGCGTAAGGCTGGCCTATCAAGGGCCTCTCGAATACAATTGCGGTCTGACTTGATTCGAAGACTTGCTGTGTAACTTGACTAAAAGACAACAAATCCAGGCTTGCGCTAAGTTTTATGGCGTGAACTGGAATGGTTTTGCGTCGCACTTGTGTCTTAGGAGAGGTAGACCAGGGTGTAATACCGCTGCTGCACACATATAAGATATACGCACACCTACACTATAGAATCGCAAATTTCATGTGATGAAGGAATCACGCGAAAAGTAAGCGAAAGTGCCTTTTACACACTGGTCTGAGTGCACCCAAACCCCGACATCCATCCATGCGCAGTCCAGTCTAAGCGTCCGGTGTATGGGTGTCTTCCCGGTTACCATTTCTTGGGTCTGAAATAGATTCCATTTTACAAGTCTCCACCATGACTCGTTACGTGTTCCTCCTCATCAAGACAGGACTCTGCCCGTGCCAGAGTGTCTCCCGGTCTCGCTACGCTACGGTGTCCCGGTCTCGAGCACTGCCAAACAGCTGCGCTCAACAGGCGCTTTCGCTAATCTGATTGGCGCATTCCTAGAAAGATCAGTTGTGACCGGTTCCAGCACTATAAACCCAACCCAGGGGCCATGAGCGTAGTTTCGCAAGATGAGTTGGAGTTGAACAGCGAAAAATGACTTAACCTAGCTCCAAGATACACCAAAAGCGGGCTTCTCCACGGATTTGTCCCACTTTTTCTCGAAACTGAGAGGCTTTGGCCCCTGTTACCCCCTCCCCAAGAAATGAAAAGGAAACCACACCCCCGCCAGATGCCTCCGTTCCGGAGACCCGTCTGCTAGACAGATCGCGGCTGCACGGGCGTCGAGGATCCACGCAGGCGGCGGCGGCCGGAGGGCTGTCACCGACCGTCAAAGCCCGGCCGACCCAGCGTCAGGAGCGGCGACGATGACGTCACCGAGTAGGGATCTGAGTTCGGCTGAACCTGCGGCAAGAGCGCCATTGATGACGTCGCTGGGTAGGGCTCTGAGCTCGGCCGCACCCACGACGTCAGGGTCGCATATATCACATCAGTCATCTTGACCTCGAGTGAACAGATTCGTTGCACAGGTGGATCGAAATCAAACAGGGACCCTGTATTTGTATAAAACGGCTGTCTCCTGCTATACCTCAGGCCCAAGGCTGATCTTCAATGTAAATCGTGCTCGGCCCAGATATTCTGGATAGTTGGGTCTTGCGATAAGACTCAGACCCCAGATAGCGTTATCCTAAGTTGACTCAGATTAAAGAGCAGCCTACACGAAACTGAGGATTTAATCGAGCATCAGATGTAAAGACGCTGGCTTAAATAGTGTTTCTCATTTATGTTGGGGTTTGAACTGAAAAAAACCATCCTGGAGACTTTTGGTGCCGTTCACAACCCTGCCTTTCTCAATGCCTAAGAAAGGCGGGGTTGTGAACCCTGCCCTTAAGCCGCTCTAGTTTCTGAGCTAGACGCCCTCGAAAATGGGGAAAGGTATATCGGGGAGAGTATTTCAAAGTCAGTTTGGCATTCATGACGTCATAGCAACGTCATTTAAACTCTGTCATTTCATAAGCCATGCGGCGACCCAGACCAAACAACAATATTGTTGTCGAGGTATTGATATTTGGCGTTAGCGAGCAGGATTTTTCAGATATACCGGCCGTCAACTGGCTCTCAGTCAATGTCGTGCAATGTACGATGAAGTAAAGAAACCATGTCGCATTGAATTAATAAAAAGCATACCAATAGTTATAAGTAAGCTCGTTTCCTCATATATAATGTTTGCTTCAATATCGTCAAATGTGACTCATTCCCATTAATCTAGCCCACGGCTCTCACCTGCTTGGGCTTGGGCTTGGATGAACTAGAATCTGGATAAATTGGAATCTGGATAAGCTGGAATCTTGATTATCTTCTCATTGAAACGCACCGAAGCGATGTGGAAAACGAAAAGCATCCGATGATAGAAGTAAGCGTGGTTTAGGGACGGTGCTGGGTTGGTTTGGCTGCGTCAGGTTAGGTAAAGTTTACTTTGACTGGGATCAGCAGGCTGGGGGTTTGTCGTTTGCGTTTGGATGTTTTTCGACAATCAGTTTGGTCAACGTCGATATAGCGTCAGTCTTTGCACCTTTACAAGGGATTGCACTTGGGACCACTTAGAGATTACACGCAAGGGATCGCATTTTGATTTCGCCAGGGCTCTTAACTCATGCAAGGACAATTTTGTCAGTGGTCTCTCGGCTAAGCGTTAGATAACATTCAAGGGAATGTTCCACATTTGAAGATGAAGCAAAGATCAGATATGATGCAATAAGCTCACTTATTATTATTCGTAGACTTTGAAGTGGAAAAGGCTGCTCTAGACAACACAATTTTTCTTGTCAGCAAATGTGCTCCCCAATATGTTATTGTTTAATTACGTCATCGCACCTTGAACAATATTGATTGAAATAAGACAGGAGTATTAGCCTTATTCCTCGGAGAAAAATCAGGAGAATGGAAATATAGTTGAATTGATATTTCGGCAATACGCCTTTATCGAAACAATAGCAGAAGTGAATTCTTCGTTGAAATTGACTTCATCGATTTCTTAGGTCAGAAATGGCTTCTGATATTGTTTCGATAAAGGCATCTTGCCGAAAAATCAACCCAATTATATTTCCATTATCTTGGTTTTTTCTCCGAGGAATAAGGCTAATACTACTGTCTTACCCATGTGAATAATGTTCCTCGCTAATGCACTAAACAACTAACATTGATTGAGAGCCAATTGACGGCCATTACATCTAAAAACGTGCTCAAGATCGCCATACATGAACGACTCGACAATCGTGTCTTCTTTGGCCTTCATCGCCACATGGCCAATGCAATGGCAGGTTTTCATTGGCTTACCATGGCATCATGGGAGCCTGGGTAACCTTGAAATGGTCTCTCTGAAATAGTCTGCACATCTTCGCGGGCGTTTAGCTCAGAAATTAGCAGAGTTTAGGGCATAGAAAGCCACAGCTGTGAGCTGCAACAGATGATCTTCAAGATGAATATTTTAGTTAAAAACTTGATACAAATATAGGCCCCTCATCCATAATGCCCCACAACCCCATAAATAAAAATGAAACACTCCATACAAGGATGAGCTAGGTTTGATTCGATCGGGTCAGACCAGGCTGGGTCATTTGAGATTAGGTTAGGTTTTGTGTAAGTTATGTGAAGTTGGGTAGGGCCTGTAACCTGTTGAGGTTTTTAACACGCGCTCAGGTGGGGGATCAAACTGACCCCTGGCAGGTTTTTCCAGAATGATTTCCGAATGACGCGACGTAGTCGCGCTAAATTTTGCATAGCTGTAGATAATTAAATAGCGGATTGTTTGGTATCGAAATCTAGATGTACATAGTAAGGTCGCTGACCTATGGCAGGTCAAAGTCAGGCCATGGTTTCAGCGGAGTCCATTTCTACGGAATCGTTCCCTCGGATGCAACAACGGAGTGCAGACGAAGCCATACAGCTCTGTGGTACTCTCTTAGGCAACACAACAATTGAATGAGCAAATTACATCGACATGCGGTCAGGAATGAAGGTCAGGCCAGAGTCAAAACCATTCTGTTTTATTACTCCAGGGCTTGCTATATGAAATGGTTGCTGGTGTTTATTTTAAATTTATTGATGGCAGGAACCGTATTCTTCATCTTCCATGGACTTCTTAAAGGTCAGAATAGGTCATTGACCAAAAATGACCGAGGCCAACATTTTTTTTAGGAACCTTCTGCTCGGCATAATCTTCATCGCTTGTTCAGATGCAAAACTCAGAGTAGTCTTGTATGATTTCGGTCAACATGACCTGCAAAAGGTTAAACAAGATCACTGGCGTTAAATGAGCATGTGACGTTTGTTTAGAAACACTTAGCTAAGTTTTGGAGGCCCTATGGAGACCAACCTGGGATTTAACTTTGTTTGACCTTATTTGACGCAAACATCATGACCTAGGAACCTCAAACCTTGACCTAATTGGTTTCACGTACAGGTCAACCCACCCTGTGAATTTGATGTCTCCAGCTTGCATAGTTCCCGAGATCTCAGGGGGAGGTGAAATCGACCACCCACCCCCACCCGGGCGAAGGGTATCCAGCCGGCCACCCGGGCGCGTGTTAACCCTCAAAATCTACGTCCCGGAAAAAGTGACAACCGTATGCCGAACGTATGCTATACCAAACGAAACAATTTGTCTCAGCAATACGGTGAGCAAGGTTTAAGAAGCTTACCGGCTACATTGGGCTAGGTTGTGTTCAGTTATATTATATTTATGTAGGTGAAGTGAGGTTTACGTAAACATATTACCCGCGTAAAGACCAGTGGGGTTGAGTCAGAGCCTGCGACTTGTGGCCTGTACTCCTGTGTGGTGTCTATCCTGGAAGAATCGTAAGCGAAACTGATTATATCCCGTGCGATCTCGCGAGTAACCGATACATTTTGTGGGACCCAGGATCTTATGATCCGAACTCAGACGCTGACTCAGGCGCAAGCTTGAAAGAGTCAAACCCGGACTTGCATCAATGCACTCAACGTTACGCATTAAGTGGCTGGCCGCATGGAGTCAGGCTCAAAACTCCAGAACTCGCACACGGACTCGGATTTTTGGACCCGGCCTCCTGCCTGGCGACGATGGCTTCACGGCGGCGGTCAGACGATGATGCACGTGTGTTTGCGCGGCGCAGTCACTCCGACGGCACTCAGCCTTGGAGTGTTTGCGTCGCTCGTGGCCTCCCGCCAGAAGGCATCAGCGCTGATTTCTGGTGACAACCCTCGCGTGTGAGCACGTGGGGCCGAGACCAGACGCTGCGAGGGCGCTGCCTCCCAGTGACGCCATCGGGTAGCTCGGCTTGGCGGCCGTGCGGTCGGCGCGCGCGTCGGCACAGCCGCGTCGGACGGCCGCGGACACGCGCCGCGCGCCCGGCAGCGCGGCCGGCCTGGCGCCTCGGAAGTCGGCCGATCCGCCCCACTGCACCGGTTAGAAAGCCTGCCCGCAGCGCCTGTCGCCACGCCGCAGCCGGCATCGACGGGAAAGTCCCGGGCGCATGCCGGGCCTCGTGTCCAGCGACACACCATCACCGCCATCTGCAGACGTGGCCGGTTTCACTGAATTTATTGCAGCAACAAGAGATTGTGCGAGAAACTCACCACCTGGTGGCCGAGCCTACGACTTGGCGCGCTGCCATGGTTACAATTAGGTGCTTTCGACGCTTGTTTACGAACTGTATTTCATGGATGGACGCAGGCCATAAACATGCCCTGAAGCATGTTTATTGCTGCTAACTTTTCCGTTTGATGATGCCTGTGCTACAAACTAGATCGATTCGGCTGTTTGGAATATGCGAACACCACAAATATATCTGCTTTCGGGAGCAGCATTTCCAAACGGAGGCCGGAATGGTTAGGATTCAAAAAGCCCGCGCTTCTTGTCAATTTATTTCAACCGCCCGCTTATGCAACCTCGTGGACGGCTGGGCATGCCGGCTGTTGCAAGCGGATCCTTCTGACATTTTCTCCTCTTCCATAACTGATACCCTCACTTTGTCCTTCTCGTTAGCCAAACGGCTGGAAAAGCCTCGTGCAGTGCCTCGGGATTTCCAGATCAGGTGACCTAACTCGGCTTGACACGAGCTTACCTTGGCGTAAACCTGAGCTTTAGCAATATCATGGCATGATTCCGCATGGCAAAATGTGCTCTTTTGTTTGGCTCGGATTTCAAAGCTGTACGACAACTATTACGGAGCTGGAATGCCAATAAATCCTTCAAAGGTTTTTATGATTGTAAATATGTTTTGTTTTGTGACGTTGTCTTTCGCGTGGCAAAGGTCAGCTGAAGACGCTTTGGTGAAATTGACCAGGGCTGTCGAATGCCGCTTAAATTCTTCCGATCCGACCATCACCAGAGATGCCGGATGGAGATTGGTACTGGCGGATCTCATGCATATCCTGAGATAGCGGGCAGGGATACTTTCCACCGCTGCCCCAGGCGGCCGCGGGTGGTGGGACATCCCAGACAGTGCCACAATGATAGGGAGACTCCCCGTCTGTGTCTGTCTGTGCTCCCCGCTCAGCATGCTCACGGCCCTGCTGGAGGGCAAATGATGACGCGGCAAAATGAGAGACTATGCTATCGGAGTGAGAACAGTATGGGCGAGGCTCTAAGCTGTTGCAGAGTTTAACAGCTCTGCAGGAAGGACGAAACTTAGCGTTACCAACGCCATATTGGCATGCTGTCTTCGCCTGCGATAGTTAATATCAACGCGGTAAGACACCGATTCGTTGACCGCACTTAGCAAACTGCGTTTTGTAATGTTTATAGCGCACTAATATGTCAAAACGTTTGTGTAACAAGTGCAGCCTAAGCTTGAAACGCGCTGTTTAGGTTAAGAAATATGCGAACATGAAGCTGTGATACCATGAATTCAACAAAACGGTATGCCATAGCTTTGATTTTTTCCACATAGCGTTTGCAACAGAGACTCTTTTCGAAGCGCACTTTGGCTTTGGGAACGGGTGTACCACATGATCTTTGTAACGTCCCAGTTCAAACATCAACCAATGCGCTTCTCGGTAACTGCACCAATAGAGGTGCACACGTTGCTTGTCATCGCGACGGTGATCACGACTGCGGGGAAGAATCCTAGTGCTGTTACTGAGCGTTGACAGCGTCATTTGGATTCGAAAATAATTATGATTGTTATCTTTGTTATGTCCTGACGGTGCTGCAGTGGCACTGCTCAGTGTGTTTAATAGACGTTACTAGTCCTGAGGTTTCACTAGAGCATGTTTTTGAAATATGCCTTAAAAGTGGGACACGCCCTTGAACATGCGCGCGGGTGGTCGGCCGGATACTCTTTGCTCGGGTGGGGATCAATTTGACCCCCGGATATCTCAAAAGTAGCATGGCTAGAGACGCTGAATTTACAGAGTGGATTATTCCTAGGTCATGGCCTTGGGCTCAAATAAGGGCAAACAAGGTCAAGCCCCAGACTGGTGTCTAAGTGCAACTGGAATTTCTCATGCAACTGCTGTGAAACTAGACACCTGTTTTAAGCAAAACGGCAATGAGGTCATTAACCTCTTTTGACCTTTGAAGGTCAAGGCGACCAAATACCTGCGAGATCGCGCTGATTTTGCCGGCCGAATAAACATCAGGGATTACGCAAGGCGTAATTAATTGTTCGTAAAAACATGGTCATAAAAACAAGCAAAACAAAACAAAAATCGTTCGTAATTGACAAAGTGCTGTCCTAGGTCATTTTTGGTCAGTGACCTACCCCCACCTTAAATAAGTCCATGGAACATATATGTTACGGTCACTGTCGTTAATAAATTCGAAAGGTGCATCAGAAGCTACCCCATAAATCAAGCTCTCGAGTAAAACACAGGATAGTTTTGACCTCGTTCTGGCCTTCGTGCCTGACCCTAGGTCAATGGGATTGGTCGTAGTTTTAAATCGAATTGATTTAGTACGTGAGGAACTATATCAGAGATGTATGGCTCCTTCTAACACTCAGTTGTTGCATCACACCGAACAATTCCCTAGAAATGCCCTTCGCTGACAGTCATGGTCAACTTTGACCTGCTGAAAGTCAGCGACCTTAAAAGGCTTACCTGATTTTTACATAGCAATTCCTCTATTCATTTCTTTACAGCTATGCTAAAGTTTTATGCGGCTACACTGCACCGTTCGGAAATCATTCTGGACAAGCCTTGGGGGTCAATTTGACCCCCACCCGAGCGCGTGTTAAATGCCGGCTTTCCGGCGCTTAGCTCCAACACGCCTGAGTTGTGACGCGCCGCGCTTCAGTAATATTTCCAATGATGCTCACGAACCTTTTGCAGAAACGCTTCCTGCTGAACGGCGGCCAAAGCTCGAGTGACTACCTCTGGTGGGTGCCGGTCACGTACGCCAGCCAGGCGGCGCCCGACTTCAACACCACCAAGCCTTCCAGCTGGATGCGGAAGCAGCGCCAGGTGACCCTGGACGGTAAGCACCCTGATCGGCAGCCGGCGACGCAGCTAGCGAACGCCGAGCGCCTCCAGTGGCGAGATGGAGCTGCAGAACGGACGGTCGGGATGCGACGGCCGTCAAACAACGAAACCGGCGCGTGGCAAAACACCAGTTACCCTTTCTTAGTTGATATTGGAACCATGTGCCTGGAAGCGGCGGACCTTTGACATTTAGGCCATAAACATGAATAAACACCGGACACAACGGGACGAATATCGGCAGCAACCGTTACCACCGGCGGTTAAAGCCTGGGAGCGGTGGACCTTTAACATTTAGGCCATAGACAATGGACGATACACACCGCAACACAGTGGGACGAATATCGGCAGCAGCCTTTACCATCAGCGGTCAACAGCCATATCTCGAGCGTGAATACTGGTGTGAGTTGACCACTGTAGCCGCCTACATCACGCGGGCAAGGCTGCACATGGTGGACGGGCGTGGCGGGTTCCGCACACAAACTGCGCTCCGATTTGCAGGCATGCCGGCCGCCGACCAGTGGGTCATAATGAACGTGCAGGAAGTGGGTTACTACAAGGTCAACTACGACGCCGAGAATTGGGCGCTCATCATTCGTCAACTGTCTGTTGACAACACCGCCATCCACACCATCAACCGGGCACAGGTGGGCATCAATCATGTCCTGTCTCCTCCAGGTGGGTGCCAGTGACGTCGTGCTACGCTAGGAGACTCTGACTGTATCCTAGTGCCGATTGGCAGGCTACAGTGACGTTCTGTTGCCACCAGTTGGACGTCAGAGGTGACGTCTGCCGTCGTCTGCAGCCGACGGGATCCCGCCTCACCTACGTCTGCCGTCGTCTGCGGTCTGCGTGGCCCTACCTTACTTGTGTATGCCGTCCTCTGCAATATGCGGGGTCCCGCCTGACCTGCGTCTGACGTCGTCTGGTGTCTGCGTGGCTCTGTCTGACCTGTGTTTGGCGTCGTTTGTAGCCTGGGTGACACTGTCTGACATATGCCTGCTGTCTTCCAGCTGATTGACGACGCTATGGACCTGGCGCGCTCCGGTCAGCTGGGCTATGACACGGCCCTTTCGGTGTTCGGCTACCTGAGCAACGAGCGTGAATACCTGCCCTGGGATGCCGCCTTTGACAACCTGGCCTACGTCAACACCCAGCTCAAGCGGACGGCCGGCTACGGTGCCTTCAAGGTAACGTCGGGTGGCGCATGTCGAGGCCTGGTCAGGGCGGCACTGTCGTCCCGGTCTATGCACCCACTCCCGGCGCACGGGAGATTCGGTCGGCGCACGTCGCCACCCGACAGAAGCATGGTTCACTTGCTGACGCGGGGTCGTTCGTTCGATGCCTGAAGCTGGCTTTTTTTTGTCTTCCGCAGTCGCCATGAGACACTGCGACGCTAATGTTTGTAGTGGCTGCGCGTGCCGTAGAAATAATCAGAGCAGATGACCCGCTGTCCGAGGCAAATGTGTCGCCACACGTTTGGCCCTGAGCCCTAAGTTCGGTTCAGGGCCGTTAGATCCCGGCTCGTCCGACTGACCCTCACCCCCGCTGCAGCGCTTTGCCCTGAAGATGATCCAGCCGCTGTACGACCGCGTCGGCTTCGAGGAGCGCCCCGACGACTCGCACCTGGACCAGTTCAGCCGGATCAACGTGTTGAATTGGGCGTGCGCCCTCGGCCACAAGGACTGCGTGCGCCAGTCGGTGGACAAGTTCGAGCAGTGGATGGCTGATCCAGACAACGACGGGTGCGTCCCGGGTATCATAGGTCACCACCCGCTATTTTTACGCCCTGGTGCAGGAAATGGTCGCTGCACTGTACGCTTGGTCCTGTACCAAATAACGTACGATGCATAGACAGATTAATAGATTGTTAGATAGATGGATAGAAAAATAGATAGACAGATACATGGACACATAGGTTCATAGATACATAGATAGATACGTAGATACATGGGAAATAGGAGAGGGATATATATATATATATATATATATATATATATTAAATAAAACAATTGCGGAAGATTATTGCGACTGCTTGGAAGGAGGCTGTTCTATCCCCACGTACATAAAGCGGTCTGAACGTGTTGCTGGATTGGTCAGAAGTGAGCTATCCTCGTTTGGTATCATTCTGCAGCCGTAAGCGCATTGCATGTTTATTCACTGCACCCACTGATCTTTGCCGGTATTGGTTCGTATCACGTACATTTGCTCCGGTTGTGTTGCAGAATAATCCCTGCCAACCTGAAGGCCCGCGTGTACTGCACGGCCATTCGTGAGGGCGGCGAGGACGAGTGGGAGTTCGCCTGGGGACGCTACAAGGCGGCCAACGTGGCTTCCGAGAAGTCCCGGCTCCTCTCGGCGCTGGGCTGCTCCAGGGAAATCTGGGTCCTCAGCAGGTACGGCACTATGTAGTTCGGGTGGACGAGGCGGGTTCGAAGGATCTCAAGTCCGCCAGTTGAGCAGTTAACTGCTCGGCTGGGGTGAGCTCGACGGGGAAACGCTGCTGAAGTCTTACGGTACAAACGCGTGTTTGGTCGTCACGAAACCTGATCCGTAGTGACAGATTTCTGAGCTGGACCTGCAGATGTGTGAGTGGTGTCAGGTTTTTGGACCAGACCTGTCAATCTGTAACCCCTCCCCCGGGCTTTCCCGGACGGCCACGTGTCATTTGGAAAATGTTGGCAAATTCACCATTCCGCACTAGTGATCGCACCGTCACAGTCCATCGTCGGCCGATTATGCTCAGCACCCCCGCTACAACACTGTCGCCTCTGCGGTGGCCCGCTAAGCTTGGCCTGAAACGTGCGGGTATTCTTGGGACGCATTCAGGGCAAGCTCCCTCAAGACTGACCCGACCTGTGATCTTGTGGCCTTGCCCTCAGGTACCTGAACTGGACGCTGACACCAGACTCCGGAATCCGGGTTCAGGATGGCTCCCAGGTGTTCTCCGCCGTCTCCAGCAACTCGGTGGGACGCTATCTTGCCTGGGACTTCCTCCGAAATAACCTGAAGAGGATTCTTAAAACGTGAGTGGTTCATTGCTGGAGGACACTTGTTCAAGCATTTTAGGCTCATATGAACAATTTCAATGCCGAGTTTATGATTTGAGTTAGGAGCAGCTTCCGAGTTAAGGACATTGTGTGAAATGCTGTTGACATATAGCGAGCAAGATATGTGCCTCGATGGCTTAGAAAAGTGCGACGAAAATCTGCATGAGCCAATACCAGTGCTCAACTGTTCTCTACTGATCGCGACCAATGCAGGTGGCCCTCTTGGTAATGGACGCTGACGACTTGCGATATTTTAACGCATGTTCACATTTTGGTTTTGCATGTTTATCTATGATTCTTAAGTGCGATTGTCATTATCATTTTATTTCCTCACGCTTGATGCCCTGACGTGCACATTGAGTTTTAATTTTGTTTTCGTTTCGGTTTGGTTTTTAGTTTCGGTGGCGGCAGTTTTATGATTCCCCGCTTTATATCGAACCTGAAGTATGGCTACAACACTGATCTGGATCTGAAACAGGTACGTCATATTGTAGAGAAGCAGCACACATGGTACCTAGCCTGCTAATGACCCCTGGCCTCAGGCAGCCGCGTGATTACCGACCCTTTTAATTCCATTCACCCGTTCTCATGTGCTAAGATGGCCGTTTGAGATTAAACGCACGGGTGTATGAAGGCTGCCAGCTTTTGCGAGCCCAGGTCGACATTGACCGCGTCTAACACGACCAGTGCCCTACTGACTGTGACGCCCCGAACCGACGGTAGCCGGCCCGCGGTGTACCCGCCCTCTGACCTTTACACCCCACACGTTTGCTCAGGTTCAAAGGCATGTATCACCTGGGCATCATATGTGCATCATTCGGAAGAGATCTTAACTCACGTTCAGGTCTGGCTGAGGTACGAATCGTTGTCTGCATTGCCTGTCGGTGTCGCTGCCTGCTTGTTCTCACTCACACGCCCGTAAGATCACATAACGCCGTTCGCTCATCAACGTGTCACAGCTACTCAGGTATTCACTTTTTGTTATATGTTTATTCATTCTTTTTTAAACAGTTGTTTCCTGTTAAGTCATTACTGATATCACTCATCAATGTTTATCCTTCACTGAAACGCTGGCCGTCTAACACGCCAACATCGGCGCATTTCCTTCGAACTCAATCTGTAATCCAAAGAGGGATGCTATTTTTCTCTGCACCACCAGCTGTGTGCTGCTCTTGATTTGTTTTGTTTTTGCAGTATCTACCGTGGCCGTGCCGTGTCTGATCCGTATTGTCTCTCATTTTGGCGCAGTAACACTTCAATCGCATGTTTTGTTCACATGTGTGATGTTAGATGGGAGTGAGAAACGTCTACATATTTTCCATGGCTGTAACTTTTTTATCTGTAAACATATGCTAAAAACACAGATTTGTTCACGTCATGATCTTCATCTTTTTTCGCGATCACTGGTGATTTTTGTGACTTGCGGTTTCTTTACCGACCTAAGCAAAAATGGTGGCGGTGTTGTGGCATCACCTTGTTTTCAGTTTTCATGAGCTGAATCATGTCTTTTCTATGCTAGTATTGTTTGACGTACCAATGGAGGCACTACCAATTCGAGCCGAGAAAGCATATTTAAAATCCACCATTTCTATGCGTGGTACCTGCAAGTGACTGTTCAGGTGAATTACCAACTGAGTAAGCTTATCTACTGACGGAGTCACCCCACATAATTCAACTTGCGTTTCCTAGGAAACTAGTGACTAAATAAAGTCACGGTCAGTCACTTCTTGACCGGTTAAGCTACCGCTCAAGCTGACCCCGTGCACAAAAAGCCTGTAGAACGTCAGAAATTACACTGGGCGCACCTTGCAAGCAGGTATACGTCTGAGATACACGCAGTGTGTGATTCGGCGTTGCCAATGGCGGCTGGCTGAGAGGACCATGCTGGCACGGTGCGGCAGTCCGATGGCGTTGCATAGCACCTTAAACAATTTTAACATTATTTGGCGAGAAATCGCAGGTCAAAATTGCCCTCTGAGCTGGAAGTGCTCCACGGGGTGTTGGAGTTAAGATCTTCGCAACGGTTCATACTTCAGAAGAACTCCAGTTCAGAAGTCATGCATGTACAGCGTGCGATCAAATTGATCAAGCAAAGAAATGTCGTTCTAGAAGCGGACTCCTGTGTCGTGTGCTTGGATTAGGGCGCCACATTTCGGACGTGTTCGTGTAGCCTGAACGACAAATGACCAAGTGTAACCAGCTGTCAGAGGGTAGGAACGGACGCCGTGTAAACTGAACGGTGTTAATTGACGCTGATGATCCAGAGCATGACCTGAAGAGAAACTCTACTGTGTGGAGTGCCACGTAACGTTCTATAAATAGCTTGTCGTGTGCAGCACTACAAATATTGTAACACAAAAGACTACAAACTATGCCACAGGCACCCATCCCAAAACCTGGCACGAACCCATCGCCTACGGCGTGCCCTGCTCTATCGGATAGCATGATCTGAACCGGACTGAGCCGGCCAAAGCTGCGAACTGACCTAGCGTGTGACTTGGCCGCAGCTGAAGCAGTTCTACAAGGAGAACAAGGCTGACCTGTCCGAGGCCAAGCGAGAGATGGAGCAGGCCATCGAGTACTCCACCACCAACGTGGCCTGGATGAAGAAGAACTATGATACCATTGTGCGCTGGCTGGAGAACCGTCAGCGCTAGCGTCGCTCCGCCGGCCCCCTGTCCGCCGGGACTCCAGCAGCGGGCTGGGAGGTGAGGGACCGCTGCGAGGGCCGCCGGGGCTCCAGTAGCGGTACCGGAAGGTGAGGGGCCGCCGCGAGGGTCGCCGGGGCTCCAGCAGCGGCGCCAGGAGGTGAGGGGCCGCCGCGAGGGCCGTTGGGACTCGTATCTGGCAGGTGTAGGTTCACACCTTCCCAAGAATGTTAGATAATTCACTTCTGAACAGCTCGAGCTCTCGGCAGCAAAGGTGAAGAAAATTATTGGGCCCGTGCGAGTGACGCCGCGACGGCGCCAATTTTGGGTGGGGTTCTTGTGCTTTTATCTGGATTATTAACCGCATCTTGATCATCCATACGTCTGGCAGAACCAAACGTTTTGGAAAAGGTATATTGTGGCATGCAGCATGCACAATTCATGTGGGCTAGGATATTAAAAAACGTGCTTAACTTCAAAATATGTCCATATCAAGAAAAGTGTTATATTTTTTAGGGATTCCTGATGTCTTCATGACCGTAAAATAAAAGCATGTCTTCGCTGCAACAGAAAACTGTGCTGGCCACTTGGCTTTTTTTGCTGGTACGGGTTCAATTAAAGAAAAAAACTGCAGAAGTCCGAGATTTTTCACAAAAGAGGATGTTTCTTATTTGCAGTTGGCCGCGCGTTAGCCGCATATTCTGACGACTTTGTTTAGCCAACAGCCAAGATAATTGTTTTCGCCGACGGTGGGTTACATTCGCTCGTAAATTCGCTAGATAGCCTTTACACCCGTATAACTTATGCAAGGTTGCTGTCACTTTCGGAATGCAATGCGGGTGTTGGTAAATTTTTACTCCTCCATTAGTGGTTATAGTAGTAAAACTCAACAAAGGTTTTTGATCCCATTCGTGGAGATACGTAAAACATTTGTTCGCAGCCCAGGGCGATGACACTGTGTTTGTGGCTTAAGATTGACCGTGCCTTACATTGCGCAAGCACTGCGCCATCTTAGAGCTATCGATTTGGTCCATTATCGTGCATGGATTTGATGGCATTCGGCAGGCCAACTTAAGTTCATTTTGCCACATCTTTTCCGAAAGTTTAGCCTGAAAATGGGTTGAAGCCCCCAGCCTAAAGAAAATGAGCGTGCTCCGTGTGCCTACATCCTATGTTTAGCGATCCGGGGTTATGCTGAACAGAACCGTTAACTGCAGACAAAATCAACGAAAATAAAGGTCTGAAAAGAAAATGGACACTATCCAGAGCTTTTGGGAGCGCCAAAGTCCAGAGGCGTCAGCTTGCAATTCCGTTCGTCGAGCGGGCAGTCGGTTCAGTTTCATATGCAGATCGATGTTCGTCCGCGATGACTTTTGACCAACCTGAAAATCTGTTCGGAGATGTAACACGACCTTCTGATCGCATGAGCGCAAGAACCAAGTCCAGTACGTGACTTACCGTAGGCCCTATTTCTGTGGCTGGTTGACGGAGCTGTAGCAGGCGTGAGGTCGTCTTAAAATAGACTCCTTCAATTTTCCCAAAATACTTGTGCAAAAATGGACGTTGACCTGTTCAATACCAAGCAAAATAAGGACACCAGTAACACCAAGTGTTAAACCAATAGTTGGAAAAAGTCGCAAACACTGGTGTGAATGTGAAGCCGAAGTCAACTCTTTCGAAGTTGACAAGCGTATATCGAGTGGCCTCTTGTTGGTGATGTCGGTGGTATCCTGGATCGGCCCCTATCATTGACAGTAGCGGATGTCTACACATATGCTCGTCTCTCCCTCGTGGTGCGCATGCTGTGCATGCCGATGTTCAATAAGAATCTTAGATATAAGCAAGCAGCGTGCGGGCAATGAATTACGGAGGATGTATCATTTTGACGAGCCGTTTGAAAGGTACAAATTGTGACGGCAGCGAACACCACTGCCTAGCGGAAAAGTTAGACACTAACGGATGCGTCTCTCACGGGTAGGTGGCGCTGACCTCCGGACAGCCGGCCAAAATATGACGCCATCTTCCGGCGTGATCCGTGGCGCCATCTGCTCCAGCTGCCGGCCGGTGCCAGCAGCCCCATCCGCCTCTTCTCGACCGCCGGGCCGGCCCCAGAACCGTGCCTTGCCGACCGGGCCGCGGCCGAGCCAGCCGGACCCGCCGGCGGTCTGAGCCGCGCCGCAGCAGCGGGGCGTGCCACCCGGACAGTGCGGACGGCACGGATGGGTGGGTGTGCGTGTTGCCCGCCGTGGTCATGGACCTACGTATCCCGCTAGCCGCCGGTTGATGTTTTGTTGTGGTGCGGTGGCACTAAGCGGCAGCATCGCAGAGTGCTGGGGCTGCCGTGATGCGATCCGGTAGGTTGGTCCTGGTAGGGGCTGCCCAGGGATAGTGCAGGGGTCTGATGGATCCCTTTGTCTGTACATATGTTGTACGAGGATGTAATGTGTGCTTGTGTTTGCACAGGGTTTGTGCCAGGGATCTGGCGGCTCTGGTGAGGCAATAAAATGCCCCCATGTGCCATATCCTGTCAGCCGTGCAACCGTGTCCCCTTGTCCAAATGTTCTCACCAGTTGCCAGCCAACAACGCAATAGCCATGTTTTCCATCATAACCACAGGGAGTCGGCCAATTTCTATGTTATATCATGCAATCGCACCAAATATTCCCATTACGCACCGTTCCGGTCGCAATTGATTTTAGAGGAATGCGCGTCTGAAATGTCTTATCAATTATTGGTAATCACCGCAGGTGCATGTAGAAATCACAAATCCTGTTGTCTGTTTTGACATATCATCGTGCGCAGTGAGCAGAGAACAATAAACCGAGCGTGTATAATTGTCTTTGTGATGCAGCCAAGGCGGGAGGAATATCAGCACCAATGCCTGAAGGAAAGCCGCTTGCATAAGGCTTAACACTACAAACAGATGGCACGCAAATGCACAACATATGTTCGCCCTAATATAATTAGGTACGTAAATAACTGCACTAAAACTTCACGTAAAATGGTTAAGAATGTGCTTCACATAGCACCCCAAGCTTGACAAACAGCACTCAGCACCGAGGTTGTCCATTTCAAGGAGAAGTAACAGCTCAACGCTCGGCCACCAGGCAGGATGAAGGAGACGATGGGCCAGCCTATCACCACTCACGCAGGCACCGCGCGCGGAGAGACAGTGACGCACTACAGCACACTGTGCACCGGGTCTGATGTGCGGTAAGAAACCCATCTGCGCACACACAGCCGCAGATGCATCACGAGGCAGTCAGCAACACCTCCACTCAGCACTGGGTATCAAACACAGGTGCAGGATCATAGTCGTTTGGAGAGGCTGCGGACCTTAAGCTAACTACACTATCAGCTTGAAAGGTAGCGCGCCAATTAGCATCCCGATCGAAAATACACTTTTCCAACAAAAAGTAAAGCGGAGTAAAGCGTAAGTAAAGTGATGGAAACAAAATCGGGAAGCCATAGGGTTACCAACGCAGAAGGTCCCGAAAGCTGTTCCATTTCAAACTTATACCCCGGTATCGCATCCTACCGCGAAAAGACTGAACGTGCAACACTCCTTTAAAGCTGCCACAACAGGCGTAAGACAGGTATGAGGAGCAGAACAGTGCATAACTTTACGAATCATCGAATAGCTAACGGTCTGTGCAATGTCAAAAACGCAACGGCACAAAGCAACCTGCTTGACCGTGCACACAGCCTCTCACATACCACGAATAAGAGCCGCGTGGACGGAGCCACCGGTCCCAACGCCGACCGTCCACGTCATCGTGGGAGTCGCCGGGCTCAGTGCAGTGAGCCGCGCCAGCCGCTGGCCTCTCACGGACCGGCAGAGGCGCCGAGCCCGGCGGCGGCCACCTCACCAGTGCGCGCCGTGCGTCTCGGCCACGGCCTGCACCATGGCCAAGTGGCTGGCGTACGGCTCCGTCTCGCTAGACGCGCCCGTCCAGCGCACGGCGCGCGCGTCGTCGCCGGCCTGCAGAGGGAACGCGCCCACCACCGTGCCTGTCTCGTCGTGGAAGTTGTATGCCTTCGTCTCCATTCAGGCGCTGTCCGTGTTGCGCGTGTAGGCCACAGTAGACCACAGGTCATAGGCCAGAGTGCTACCAGTGTAATGTACATGTGGCACCGTACACGTACGTCACACCCTTCAGCCTTGCTTCAGCGAGCTTCAGTGTTCCTAGGACCTTGCCTTCAGCGAATTATTGATGGCGTCAACAGGCGTTGCCTGAAAGCTCTAGGCGCAGTTTTGGGTGATTTGTCATGTTGATGAGATCCTTTCGACCAGCAGTGATCCTTTCAGGGATATGGGATATGGGAAATTGGTTAACGGTGAAACAGGCCTTTATGCGCTGGCAGCCCGAACTAGGGACAGGCCCTAGCAGGGACCCCTCTGCGGGTTATGAACCGGGTTCCCGGACGGGGCTCTCTCCAGGGGACCTCTCATCCCGCTCATACCTGGCGCATGCAGCCTGCCTCGGACCACCCCGGACAATCGCGGCGTCGCAATGATGCTGGGACAAGGCAAGAAGAAGGTTAAAGGTCCGATCGAAAAGAGAAGAAGTCGGATCGCACTGTTCCTTATGGTGGCACGTTTTTGCAGCATGTAATGCCGTATATGACGAAATAACATTTTATTTTGAGTTTTATATCAAAGCAGACTAAATGAATTTGAATGCAAGACATGTATATAATTCTTGCATGTCTTCAGATTCTTTCATTATTGAGATCGGTTTACATCAATGTCGAAGCCGATGTTTGATGATACAATCAATGATTGCTATCAAAGACTGACGAATTGGCTGTCGTTTAGGACAGGGTGTAAAAATCCGGCATGTGAAGCAGACACGCTCATTCTCCGAAACGGCTCGTCCGATCACCTTGAAACTCCCACTAATCGATTCCGTGCAGTAAGGTGAGTCGTGAAGAACGGATACTGAGATCTGGCATGAGGTTAAGCGTCTCAAAAACGCGTAGCGAAAGTTTTATACGCAAAAGCCGACAACTCGGATATCAGAGCCTACCGCACCGGTCTCTGTGAAACGGCCTGCCTAACCAAGCAGCACGTTTCCTTGGGATGAAACATAAAGGGAAAAGGCATAATTGTAAATAGCACCATGCTTGCAGCTTGGACAGGGAATCAGAGCAGATGGCGTACTTGATGGTAAAGTTTCAGAGCAATTGGCGGGGTAGGTTCTGAGCTATGAGTTGTGTGGGAGCAAGAGTTTTAGAATTTAAAAAATTGACGACTTTTGACCTGACCTAGGGTCATCGAATTCTCTACTGCTTTGGGGAATCAGGAATAGCGCATCCAATAGTGAAGATTTTGCGGCGATCGGGGGAGTAGGCTCTGATATCTGAGTTGTCTGCTTTTACATGCAATATTTTCTCTTTGCGTTTTTGAGGTGTCTGACCTGAGGTCCGGTCTTGTTTTTCCTCTCCATAGCTCACCGCATTGCACGAAACCGATTGGTGAAGGTTTCAAGGCGATCAGACGGGCCGTTTCTGAGAACGAGCATGTCTGAACGTAGCGTGTGCCCCATGTGCAGGTTTTTAGACCCTGCCGTGGTTTGACGCTTCTTATACAGTTCCAGCGCGATCGCGCGCAGTTCGTAGTCCCATACCCGTAACGCATTCTTGAGGCCCATTGGGCGGGTGTCGCCTTGTTACGTTGTCAACGAAACCCGAAGAGCCATCTTCCCAAGGTTGCAAGACATACAGGCTTCTTTGTTTCCAGCTGAATCAACAGGTGAACGTACTGTCGGTACTATCATTCATGTGCCTTCCGCCTAACTTCGCAGTCCTCTTCCCGCTCGAATTCGAAATGCATGGTGATGCTATCACTACCTCCAATGATTAATAATGATTAACATTTTTAGTCATATGATCATCGTGCTTGCTCAGACTTAAGTCCAAGTCACAACATTTTGTGCATATCATCTACAGGTGTTGGATGCTCAGCAAGCTTTGCATCTCCATGCTCCTCAGAATGTGTCAATAATGAGTTGACACTCAAGTTTCAAGCTATTTATATTTTTATCCAGATCACATTTAATTGGTTCTGTGGTATTTGAATGGGCTAAGGGTAGGGGAACTTTTGGTGAATGTTACTCAAGACCATGCATTAGTTACTTAAGTGTGGTACTAAGTGACTGATGCAGGTGGTGTTCCATGATCAAAAGTTGTCACCACCTTGATCATGCAAATAATGATAACATAAAAACCAGCAGCATCTATCGCTCATGAAAAAGCTGATTTCATTAATTTGTTATGTTTTTTGAACCTTTATTTTGTATATTCACTTATTACTGATGCCATCAGTATGTGAAACAGCAGAAATCAGACCTGTATGCCCCATAATCTTCATCATATGTGTGCAATGCATGACCCTAAGCAATATTCAGATGTTTTCATTATTTTGGTACCAGTCAGACTTGCTCTCTTAGGTGCTGTGCCTGTCACCTGCTGCAGAACCAGTCCTGCATTGCATTAGGCAAAGTGCAGGACTTATTCTGTATCATCCTTTATGCACAGTTGACCTTTGCAAACCAGCAAAACTGTGAAAACCCTGCCTGGTCTGCAAGGATGCAAGATTGTTTCCTGTAGAACATAGTTACCCTTAGATTTGTTCAAATGATTTCCCCAATGGCCTGTGGGGTGGCTTTCTCCACAGTTCCCTCCTAGTGTGTGAAAGGTCAGGTAGCAGGTAGGATTATCTGCATACACCACCCTTGAAGTAATACACCATAAGTGGCACCATTATCTCCTTTTCTTTCTCATACTGTCTTTTGTCAAACATTATCTGCCCTGAAGATCTGGTTGTTGAAGGACAGACATGGGCTGAGCCCACAAACCTTTGGTTAAGTTAAGTATCCTATGGGCACTGACTGCAAAGTCCCATTACTGAAGATCAAGTCATTATATCATGAGTTAGTTACCAATTTATTGGATTTCCATGATCATTGATTGACCTCATGGCATATTGCCTTTTTGTATCCCCATCTGTTTACTGTGTTTATATCATGCTGTGATGTTGGTATTCTGACTTGCCATCATATTTTTGTTTTTGTTTCCAGGACTGATGAATGGATGTCCAGACATATCAGGGCCAAGGGCTCCACCACAGCCTTACCAGGGGCTTGAGGTTGGTTGTGGTACTCTGTTGGCCGCTTGGGCTCATGGTTTCTGTAGATACCCAGATCTGCATGGTTGTGGTCACCCATATATCCCATCCATGACTGTGCCAGAATACGAGCATTTGGTGATGTTGCATTTTTATAATCGTATGGGCACCGTACATCTGGCAAAACCTTGCATCTTGTCATATGAGTTTTTTGGCTATTGAGGGCATCCCATTGAGCATTGAAGGTACAGGGTATGCCTGCTACATGATTTTACATTCCATTACATACTACTCAGCCCACAACTGATGGCGACCTGACTGGCTGCTGTGCTTTGTCGCAGACCGCTGATATCCGCCGGGAGGTGCCGGACGTGTCGCTCGTGTTCAACCCGGAGGAGCGCAGCCTGGTGCTGGGCTCGCGGCCGGGTGGCGCGCTGCCGGCCGCTCGGCTTCAGCAGGACCTGCGCCGCAGCCGCTCCGTGCCGGGCCGCTCTAGCGAGCCGGCGCCGCCGCCGCCGCCGCGACTTCGCACTCCGCCGGCCGGGCCGCCGCGGCCCAGTCCGCTGACGCAGCCGGCCGCCGTGCGGCTCAGCGACGTCAGCATCAGCTACGAGGACGGCCAGGAGGTGCCGCGTGTGGCCACCGGTCCGGCGCGCAGGGCTGCCTCACCGTCGCCGGTGGGAGCGGCGTCGCGGCCGCCGCCGGCGGCGCCGCCCTCGGCCAGCGGTGGCTCGCCGGCCGCGTGGTCCGCCAGCAGCGGCGGCGGCAGCGAGCCCGCCACCGGCTGCTGCGCGGCCGAGCTGCGCGCCGTGCTGCGCATCGTGGCCGACAACGGCCGCCAGCTGGCGCAGCTGCGCGGGCAGATGAAGGCGCTGCTGGCGCGCGACCGCGCCGCCGCCCGGCCGGCGGTGTTGCGCGAGGCGCAGACGCAGACGGAGGATACGCGGCCGCGCACGGCAGCCACCGCTGTCAACACCAGCCTGGGACTGCTGCCGCGCCGCGACATCGGCACAACTACCGAGCCGGCGGCGGACCCGCCGCGGCGCTGCTGCGCCGGCGCGCCGCCGGCCGAGCCGCCGGCGGTCGCCGCCGAGAACACGGCTCAGGTGCAGCAGCGGCGCGTGCAGGAGTGGGTGGACGGGCGCGGCTGGGCCGTCGAGGAGACGGACCTCACGCTGCGCGGCGTCGTGCTGCCGCCCGTGCCGGAGCAGGCCCCCAGCCCCGAACAGAGCCTGCACGTGCAGATGCAGGAGTACCAGCCGTCCGGCGATGGGTGAGCGACCAGCGTTTCCGCCGGCCTGCCAGGCGCCGGTTCAGTCGGGGCGTGTAACGTTGGTTAAAGCTAAGGTTAACGTTGGGCTGGTGGTCATCGTTGGTTAGAGTCACACGAGGCTTTCGGTAATGTGCTGAGCTCACCAGAACTTGAACTGGTCACACGGTGTTCAACTATAGCGTGGAGTTGGTCACATGCTTTTCATGTGTTTTCCCTCCGGTCACATGTCAGATGGAGTTTATCACTTTGCCGGTGTGGATGGTTGGGAGGCATGCCAACCGGAGGCTGCGCTTTTGCAGGCATTACATGCAGTGGAGAGGTATAAAAGGAAATGTGCCTGCATTTACACATGTTTGAAAGCCCATGTCAACCTTTTTTAGTGTCATGGATCTTCTGATATCAGGGGACAATGCGAGGGGGTACATTAACGCAGTATAGAACCGGAAGCCGCTGAGTGCATTGCCAGCCTGTTCGGCCGGGCCCCGTCGCATCCGTTTCACCCTGCGCCCGACAGGTCAGCAGGCGGCTCTGCGGCCGAGGAAGAGGCTGAGACCGAGCGGGCGAAACCTGACAAGACGTTCTTCCAAAATGTGATGGTGAGGCGCCTGGCGTGGCTCCGGAGTCCAGCACCCAGCCTGCCGGCAGGCGTGACAAACTAAGTGAATGGCGCGAGGTGTGGGACTAGGATGCGATGTTGTGAGTCGGGAAGTCTACTTCACGTGATGTCCGTAAATATCGCAGACGCGTCAGGTGTGTTTGTGTGTGCGTGTGTGGTGGTGGCTTCTTTGTTTCCGTATGAAATGTGGCGGTTTGCTAAGTTGCGCGTGGATTTTGGAAGCCTTTACATTTTTCGCTCAGACAATTGCCGAATCTTGTTTGGCATGACGGGTATTGATCGTTCCATGGTGATGGTTTTACTAAATATGCATATAGATGAACGCTCGATTTTTGCCAGGTGTTCGACAGGTGCCTAAGCTTCCATGACTCGTGCTTCACTTCTTAATACAATGGTGCCTCCCCTTCCTGTCCGGGACTGGAGAAGATGCCAGGACATGTTTTTAATATGCCAGTGCAACTTGATTCAGTCCAGACGTAAACGTAAATGCCATTGGGGTAGCCGACTCAGTGCTGTCCTATGGGCCTGTCCGCCACAGAAGCACGCATCCCGCCACATTTGTAAACTGAGCTGCATACTCGTGCTCTGGTGCTTGGTCAGCCACGCTTACCCGCGCGCTGTCGCTGCCATTGTCAGGGCCAGGTGAACCAGATACTGAACGCGTACCCTGCCGAGCCGGAGCGGCCGGCGACGCCGCCGAAGGAGGTCGGGCCGCCGCGGGCGGCGGCGTCGTCAGAGGACCCGGTGCGGCGCGCCACGCTGCAGCAGCTGAGGGCCGCCGGGGTCAGCCTCGCCCCCAGTCAGACCAACGAGCGGTGAGCATGGCGCTGGCGGTGCCCAAGCGCCCGGGCTGCGGGCGCGCTCCGCTTAGCAGGTGATCTGCACCGGTCCCGGAGCCGGAGACCCGTGCTGAGTGCCGCGCCCGTGCGGTAACCTCGTTAGCTGCCGTCCACTTTCTTGTTGCGTCTTCGTTTGAGTGTCGTCCTCGTTGCTGTTGGTTCCCGTGCTGTTGGATCCCTCCCTTCGTAGGTATCCCTGCCTCCGTAGGTAATGTATTTGAGTGGTATTCCTGCCTCCGTAGGTCCGTGTTTGAGTGGTATCCCTGCCGCGGGTCCTTGTTTGAGAGGTATCCATGCCGCAGATCCGTGTTTGGGTGGTGTCCCTGACACAGGTCCGTGTTTGAGTGATATCCCTGCCACACCTCCGTGTTTGAGCGGTGTCCCTGCCACAGGTCCTTGTTTGAGTGATATCCCTGCCGCAGGTCCTTGTTTGAGTGGTATCCGTGCCTCCATAGGTCCGTATCTGAGTGGTATCCCTGCCGCAGGTCCGTGTTTAAGTGGTATCCCTGCCGCGGGTCCGTGTTTGGGTGGTACCGCTGCCTCTGTAGGTCCGTATCTGAGTGGTATCCCTGCCGCAGTTCCTTGTTTGAGTGTTATCCCTGCCTCCGCAGGTCCGTGTTTGGGTGGTATCCCTGCCTCTGTACGTCCGTATGTGAGTGGTATCCCTGCCGCAGGTCCGTGTTTGAGTGTTATCCCTGCCGCAGGTCCGTGTTTGAGTGGTATTCCTGCTGCAGGTCGGTGTTTGACTACTCGTGCGTGCCACGGGCGGCCCGACCGTCGGCGGCCGTGCCTTGCAGCAGCGACCTCAGTCTGGAGATTAACACACTGGCCATGAAGTATGTGGACAGCCGGCAGCTGCTGCAGCGCGCCGGCGCAGGTGCGTAGTGTTCGTGGGCGGCTGGCTCTGAGCCCCCATCTCCACCGTTCAGTCGGCGGCCGCGCCGCTCTTTGGTCGAGTAGGCGCCAGAGGTACACTGCTGGAACTGTCAGAAGGCTCGTGGGGTTAGAAGCTATTCCAAGTTTAAATATGCACGTTCGTTAAATATGCACTCTCTCTTCTCCTTATATATATATATATATATATATATATATATATATATATATATTATACATCTCCACTCTGTCTGGCTCTGGCTCTGGCTCTGGCTCTGGCTCTGGCTCTGGCTCGCTCTGGCTCCGGCTCTGGCTCTGGCTCCGGCTCCGGCTCCGGCTCCGGCTCCGCTCTCTCTCTCTTCTCTTTTCTCTCTCTCTCCTCTTTTCTCTCTCTCTCTCTCTCCTCTTTTCTCTCTCTCTCTCTCTTCTCTTTTCTCTCTCTCTTCTCTTTTCTCTCTCTCTCTCTCTTCTCTTTTCTCTGTCTCTCTCTCTCTTACTCTTTTTTCTCTTCTCTCTCTCTCTCTTCTCTTTTTTCTCTCTCTCTCCTTCTCTTTCTCTCTCTCTCTCTCTCGTCTCTCTCTCTCTCTCTCTGTCTCTGTCTCCTGTCTCTGTCTCTGTCTCTGTCTCTGTCTCTGTCTCGTCTCGTCTCTGTCCTCCTGTCTCTGTCTCTGCTCTTGTCTCTTGTCCTCTGTCTCTGTCCTCTGTCTCTGTCTCTGTCTCTGTCTCCTGTCTCCTGGTCGTCTGTGCTCTGTCCTGTCCTCGTCTCATGTCTCTGTCCTCCGTGTCTCTCTCTCTCTCTCTCTCTCTCTCTCATCTCTCTCTCTCCTCTCTGTCCGTCTCCCGCTCCCGATCTCCCGTCTCTCCCGTCTCCCGTCCTCCCGTCTCCCGTCTCCCGTCTCCCGTCTCCCGTCTCCCGTCTCCGTCTCTGTCTCTGTCTCTGTCTCTCTCTCTCTCTCTCTCTCTCTCTCTCTCTCCTCTCTCTCTCTCTCTCTCTCTCTCTCTCTCTCTCTCTCTCTCTCTCTCTCTCTCTTACATGGTGTCAAACGATACCTTGAAACGATAATTAAGCCTAACGATGCAACTTTGCTATTTACAAGAATGCTTCACGACTTTGAAGCCAACTTCATGAAACCTCCCGGTTATACAGGTAACGTTAACTTCGGGCCCTAAGCGGGCGTTAGACGCGTGTTGTGAATTATGTATTGGGGTGTGGGATACATCTGGCAGGGTGCGAACGGTGTGGACAGTGGGAAAACACTTACACGGATAATTTGACTTTTCGTTTCGCCCAGTTCGAATTCGAATTCGCCCAAAACGGTTTTAAAACCTCCAATGCTGTGCAAATCTACGAGCTACCACCTACGGCTCGATGTTGCAGGCCAGATCGAGAGGCAATGCCGTAGGTCGACGAACGACCGCGACCGTGAGATCCAGGGCAACGTTCTTTCATTCAAGTGTGTGGAGGGGTTAGCGTCAGAGATATATGTATCAGAGAAAGGGGATTCTCTGACCCCTAGCTCCGAAAAAAGCTGGCTTGAGCGTCGCGGTGCAGCATACAAGAAATGCACTGATGACCGCAAAACCATATCACACTGCTATCATTTGGTCTCATGCGCGCACTGATGAAGCCGACCAACTAATGGTGTGGTCTGTTGCAGTGGGCGGTCGGCCGAGTCCACACCCCGTCGAGGCACGCCTGCTGGGCAAGGAGAACCTGACACCGCCGCCGCCGGGCCGGCCCACCGACATGACCGTGTATGGCATATCCGACAGCAACATGTCTTTCTCCACCAGAAAGTACATGGAGAAGTTCAACCTGCAGTCGTAGTTCACCCGGCCGCGCTCTTCTCATTCACTGCTATATTGCACATGAATGTATTCATATACCAAGGTATAGTTCGCTCGGTAAAATCAAGCGTGCACTGCTGTACTTCACCGTATTCCGCAAAATGCATTTGCACGATGCTACGGACTGGTATAGCGGCATCCTCACCAGATCCACGGATCCAGCACGTTGAGAACCATTGAGAAAGACCTTGCACTGCTGCGGTGGGGAGGGCAGCGATCCGCATCGTCGATGCATAAGGTTCCCACTTCCATATCGCACTAACTACATAAATACCGTACGCCGTTCGCGACGTCCTTGACTACACCGAGAAACTTTCGCCACAACCACAAGTTCCTTTGATGTTGGGATTATTGAAGATGAACTCGCTCGCCAACTTCGATTCTGAATAGTCCATCTCCGTGCCAAGAAGAGACAGCTGCGCTTTGCGGTCGATGAAGACCGTAACACCTGTGAACATGGGGTGCGTATCATTTCCCCCCCATACAACATCCAAAGATATGTGAGTTCACGTTCCACAACAGAACCAGGAGGCCGACATATGTTTGCAAATGATAAGTCTGGTCACAAATGGCCATAGCAGCAGCACAGTCTACAAATGGTTTTGGAGAGCATCGCGTTCGATCGCGAGAGCTTGGACAAAATATGGAAGCTGATCCAGGATGTTGCCCTCATTGTGTAAAAACAACATGAAATATGTACACTACTGCCAAACGTGCACTCGTGGGACAGCTCTGTCCTATCCCAGAGAGCTGCCCAACCCCAGAGAGAACCAGAGAACCGCCCAACAAGGCGAGCCCCACCAGTACCGGTAGCCGGCACTCAAAACCGGATGCGGATGGCCAACAGTGTACTTCTCACCATCTTGGTGGACTTCTTCATCCAGTTTTCCTTTCTCAAAGGCATACTCTAGAGTGTAGCTCAAACCGTTGCATCCCCTCTGCCTCACACCGACTTTGAGGCCGATCTGTGAATAAAAGTTGCTGTCTTCAGCAAAAGTTTCACTACCACAGAAAATCATTTCTAAGCAGCTGCATAATACTTAGCCCAGTTCAAAATCAATTTTCATTGTCAAAAGTTTGAGCACCTCAGATTTGACAACGAAATTGACCGTCAATCACTGCTGAACAGCACACAGCCAGGTATCTGAAGTGTTGTGGTTTAAGCGTGTGCCTGGGAAACCAGAACTAGGGATTCAAGTCCCTGTGGTGTCCACCATTCCTGCCAAGTGAGATCAGGCAATGTCATACAGCTTCAGTAGCTGTATGGCATCACCTGATCTGATGAGTGTGGCACAGAGTGCTATATGTGTAACAATATGGTCACATGTCCATACTGAGCACGCCATGTGATAACTTACTGCTTGTGGATTCTTGCCTAGTACACTCTTGACCTTCTCAACAGCATTTTTTGTCTGAAACATAAAAAAGCACAAGTTGATATATAGATCGCATATGTACACAGATGCAATTGTTGGTGTTGCAGGTAGTTGCAGTAGAAGTTTGATACAAGCTGCACTTATTTGAGTTTTACATGCACTGTTATTTGTTGGAGCATATCATGTTGTGATTCGCAACTCAATATCACAAAATGACAAACACACACCTCTTGGAGCCAGGCATACAAAGTACACAAGTTTGGAATCACAAGGCTGAAGACAAAGCCAAAACCTGTGCATCACACTCTTTTGTAAAACCAAAATAATTTTCAAATCCCCTAAAGCTGCATAGTCAGAAATCTGTTATCAGACTTTAAGGAGGTGTTTGGGACCAAGGGAGATTATGTGATTGACCATTGATATTAAGGCTTGAGATTAACACTGGGAAGCATCCTGGATGACAGATTTTCAGACAGTGATTCTGGTCCTGTGTGCTAGTATGCATGCACAGGTTCTGCCAGTTACTCCTTTGACAGTCATCAGATGTTAATTTGCCAGAGAAAAACAAGCTTGTTTTAGTTTCCAGACATGGAAAGTTGTGTGATATATTGGGGTAACAGGATGGGCAAGACTTATGTGAGGCAGTAAACCATAATGAAAAATCACTTTTACCATGCTGGAGCTGGCAATTCAAGAATGTACATAGCCAAAGTCAACAGAATCATGAGAAATTGCTTGAAGTGTAAGCCAAAGTGCATATCAGTCATACAAATGACATAAAACTACAGCCAAGCATGCTATTAGGTACTACAAGGGTGAGGCCAAGGTCAAATCCAGATGAAGAAAATGACTAACGGTCAAAGCCAAACCAGAATATAGGAGGAAAATTGAATGGAAGCCAGAGATGGTTTCATCCTATGCCTGCTGACAGACTAAGCCCACTGGAACATATACTTTCAGTCCTGTTAGCCAGGTAAGTGAGAGAAAACATATGATTATCAAATACAAATGCTCATTGAAAATTGATCCACATTTCACCCCACTGTCCCTCAGTGATTTCACAAATTCCTGAAGATTTCAAGAGACAAAGCTTGCAACTTATACCAAAATCCATGGGCACAACACTTTTGAGTTATACGCCAGGCATCTGCGTAGAGCCCAGTATGTCCCAGTTGTAAGCTGCATTTCCCCAAGGCTGTGCCAGGCTCTTCATATCTCCTTTAACTGCATATGTGAACCTTTGTCTTATCTATGTGGTATGCAGCACATTAGTTGAATCCAGCCACTAAATTTACATTGAGGCCAGCAGTGGTCTCTCAAACCATAAAGCTGAAGCTTGTCCTGAAAAATGATCTTTGCTGTATTTAACTTGTGCCTAGTCTGCAAACCATAGGAGCTTTCAAGTTTCAATAAAATATTATTGGGACAGAGGTGTTGCCCTCTGTATATGCACTTATCTACCCTGGGCATTTCTTGCATAACCCAGCCAGTTTGCAGGCTGTGAGCATTACATAACAGTTCCACCTTGGTGGTCATGCATGGCACTTGCTCAATGGGGCTTATCATGTGTCAAAAATTCCAGCCCTCACCTGTGAATATTGGATAACGATTAATGCAGCTCACACTTACCAGAATCAGAGCTGCTCTGGTGGGAATAAGCCTCTTCCCTCCACGCATAGCCCGCACGGTCGCAGTAGCGACAGGAGCCGCCATAACAGTGCTGTGATCTCCGGTTGCCGTACAGAAATGGTGCACTCATACACAGTTCAAGTGCGTATTATTGCCTCAAACAAATGCTACCCTTCCCCGTATAGCAAATACAATCACCCTATTGTTGCCAGACGTGCCGTCCCCACCACGCACGTATTTACGCCGCCCACCACGGCAGATTGTGTACATAACTGATCAACAGCTCTGGCGCACAGATGCGCTGAAATCGTACCTTCAAATGAAGGGGACTAAACGACTGGTAAAACTCGCTGGGCCTAAACACCGGCATATGAAGCAGACACGCACGTTCTCTGTGACGGCTCGCCCGATCGCCTTGAAACCTTTATCAATCAATTCTGTACAATAAAGTGAGTTATGGACAGGCAAGGTTGAGAGTTGACCTGAGGTCGACTACCTCAAAAACGCGAAGGAAAATTTTACATGCTAATGCAGACAGCTCAGGTCTCAAAGCTTACAGCACCAATCGCTGTAAAACCTTCACCACTGCATGCGCCATATCTGATTTTCTTGCGTGTTGTAAATTTGGTGATCTTAGGTCAGGTTTAAAGTCGTCGAATTTCGCAAAGTCCGAAGTTCATGCTAGCAGACAACTCACAGCTCAGAACCTACCGAACCGATTGCTGCCAAACCTTCACTATTGGATGCACCATATTCGATGCCCTCTCGCAGTTGGAATTGCTCTGATCATCTCCAAACCTCCACCAATCGATAAGCCATACCTAGCAGTTGCAATGTATGCCTGTTAAAGTCTCCTACCAAGACAGTTTTTGCTCTTGGCATTGAGGATCGAAGACGATCAAGTGTTTCCAGAAGGTGGTTAGATAGCATTTTCCGGCGACAGACTAATGTATCAGAAGAGAGGTAAACTTCAGCTGTTATGATGCTGTCGGGTTGCAAAGGTTAAATGATGCTCCAGCAAACTTCTAGCTCGTCCAGGACTCCAATTTTGGGCTGTGTATGGTAAGTTATTTTTCATGTATATGGCGACTCCTCCACCCTTACTTTTGTTGACCGCCAGTATGTTTCCGTCACGTCGTAGTACTTCATATCCGGCTTGGAAAATTGTGTTATCATGGACGGTCTTACCCAAATGGGTTTCTGTGATTATTCCTACACCTATCTTATACTTGTGCGACGTCATGTCAAGTTCAACTTGCTTAGTGGTTGTGCAAACTCCATTCACGTCGGCTGTAAGAAAACTCAGGTTTCCGGAAGGCTTCGAGGCAAGTGATTTGTTCTCATAAAATTGATCAGAACCAGAGATCAACTTATCATCTAGTCTAAAAAACCAAGCACTTGGCTGATGATATGCTACGATACGTTTCTGGCGCATTCAAAAGTGTATAAGATACCTATCCTGTTCAGGCCTCCAAAAGCGCAGTACATCATTCTTAGCCGCAGTTTTATTATTCCTACTCCATGGATGGCACATAGCTCGCTGAGTTCACTGTTGACGGTTTTTGCTGTTTCATAAACCATAATGACAGCGTCCCGTCTGTCTTCAAGCGAGCAATTGAAGACTCGTTCGATATTTTTCAAGGACTGTGCATGGTTGACAGTGCTGTTAATGCTCTCCAAAACATAATATGTACTATGATTTAGCACATTGTCGGCCCCAATATGAACCACGACGTCTACTGCCTTCGCTTTATTTATTGAGACCGCGCTTTTTAAGCTCTCATCAAGTTCATCACTCGTCGTAATAAAAGATACGTTTTGGTCAAAAATTAACTATTGTATTGCCACTGCATTGATCCGACTTACATTCCTTCCACCGATCCAAATTGCTCCATATTTTCGTACCTTCGGTTTCTTTTTCTTTTTCTCCACTCCGGTCCATGCATCACCGCCATCTGCATTTCCTACGGTGTCTGCTACCTTTTCTCCTACACTAACCCTCTTTACGTTTAGTCGATGTCCTTCGTTGTTTCCTTCCCCATAAGTATCTCAAATGAGTTGGCCGCTGGGTTCCGCTTCTTCAACAACTGGACTACGGCTCCTTTCCTTCTCGCATGTTCTTGTGTCTCCCTGTTTTTTTCCACCATCGGTTTCCTTTGATTCGAGTTCCACGGCGGAGATCACTTCTAGTTTTCTTGCAACGTACGGTACATTGCCGCGCTTTGGTGTACTTGCATGGCCTAAAATCATCCTTGCATGTCTTGCCAACATTTCAGCATCTAGCTTACTCTCAGCAGCTACCATGGCGGCTTCGCATAAAGCTTCCAGTTCATGAATGGTTTTTGTTTGGTCTTTACAATTTCTGTGTTGCCGTTTCAGAAGGTCAAGACCGTCGTCAATTTGTTTTACGGCAAAATGAAGGTCTTTCAGTCCTGCGTCTTGGCCATCAACCGTCTTTTTCTTCTTTTCTGCCAGCATGTCTTTAAACACATTGGCCTTTTCGGCTATCTGCATTGTCAGACAGTTAATCATTTCTTCTTGACTGTTTATTTGGTTTTGCAGCAGTTTAAGTTGGCTGCGCAGTTCCACCGTCTCCATTTTGGTCGTTCTTTCAAGGCTTAATATTAACAAAATTGGCCTGTCTTAAAAAACGAAGTGACAACGCTGCGATGGCACGTTTTCTAAGTAAATTTTGATCAGTCTTCCCTGGCTAAAAAAGAAGTAGTCTTTCCGTTCAATTTCACAAACTCATCGTCTTTAAATCTTCAAAACCCGTCCGAATCTTAAACAGCAATACCATATCCAGCGGCCACTAAGCTAAAATTCATTTTTGCACAATATTAAACGCAACTAACATTGCCCGGGAAAAAAACTAATAAAACTGCCTTCAACACAGAGTCACCCAAATCTCAACCGTCAGCTGAACTATCCACGTGTCAACATATGTCATCGCCTTCCAAATTAACATTTCGAACGGCGTCTGAAACAGTTGCGGTCGCGGCTCGGTGAGACAACTTATTCCAATTGTGTAACCTCGCGTCGCGTTAATGAGAGTCGGTTGTTCTCATCATTCAGCCAGGGGTCAACAAAATTCGAAAATGCATGCAACCTGGACCAGCAGCAGTTGATGGACACTCATGCAACATTCCAGCAACGTTTGACATTGGTCAGGCGCTGTAAATGCTTGCAGACATACTGAGTTTGTTAATGGCCACCTGCCGGCATCCGAAGTAAGTTTTGCTCCAGTGCGATTTTATAAATATGGCAGGGGTGTTGTGTGGGACCTCTGTAAGCACTGCACTATGGAAGCAATGATCGCTCATGCCCAGGCGACCCGCAAGAAAGACTTTGCAGCTGTAACTAAGATTAGAAGCCCGGTAACATGCTGCCTTAAATGTTATTTTATCAGATACACATAAAAAACTGTTTACCCGCACACTTCCGAACATGCACTGGCGCCACGCGTTTCTTTGAAATAATGCAGCTTTACTGTTTTACTCAATCATCGCAAAACAAAACTTCGGCAATAAATTAATAACATGTTGTATAAAATTGCCTACAGATAAATACTTCGTCACCAGTAAAATATTTGATTTGATTTGTTTGTTTGTTTGATGTTATGATTTGTTTGATTTGTTAGAGATTGACATTCCTTATCAGTATACATATTTAATGGGATAGTTTGGAGGTTGGTATTCAGCGCTCGCCACAATAGGAACGCTTTATTGAAGGAAACGCCTCTAATAACACCTCCATACGCCCTCGCGTACCAGAGGTGTTTTGAAGTGCTGTTACAGTGCCAGCAGTAACACGCGCATGCTGTGCATAGCTCTACAATTATTTGGTGATGGAGGCAGGGGTGTTCTTATGCACTTTTTACAAATGCGAGGTGCGTGGATGCTGTGTTCCATACATGAAGTCAACAAAGTGCCAGACGAGAGAAGAAACTGTCGAAGTGGTATCGAAACCCGAAAACTAATACAAAATACTAATAAAAAATTATTTGTAGACGATCGTAGGTCGAGATGCAAGCAGTGCGACCACGCGCGACACAACGTGCGTTAGACCCTTCGTTTCGGTGCCATGAACGCGTCACTATTGTTTCCCGGGTCCAACAGCGTTACGTCACAACGCAATTGGCGTCAAAATATCTACATCATGGCGCAGGACTTCACTTTGTCCAAGATGCCTTCCGTGATGCATTCGAGGACGCGATTTGTGATTGGCATGCCTGGAAATTGACGTTTTTTCCTTCCTGCTGCACTGTATGACACGGTCACACGGAAGTATTGTATTTATGTTGGTCCAAGGCTTGCCTGGTCGTCAAACGTCGCTACGACGGTCCGTTGTGAGAGTGGTCTATACTCTTGTGCCGGCATATACTGTAAGCAAGCTCTGCAAGTACGTAAGTTCTGTAAGTGCTACATACTTATCAACGGGGACGCTGCAGGGATATAGGAGTTTGATTTGTCGCGTCTGCGTCAGAGATGCCACCGAGTGTGTTTTGAAGTTTTGAAAAGTGTTGGTAGGAAGATACCTCGCATTACGCTTGTCCATATAAGCAGTATCTTGCTTATAGCCAGCTAATCAAATTTTATCAAATTAGGCGTCTTGACAATCATGTTTTGAATTCTTTTCTAAACATGTCTAGGCAAAAATCATAACAAAGGGTTTGTGATTGGAATCAAACGCTAAAATGCTTCAAAATAGTTTTAAAAGCTATGCGGGGTAATCCTTCGTGAAAACCGCTAATGCAAAATTACGTCCATCCTCGTTGCCTCACATTCACCACAAACAAAACGTTTCTAAAAAGCAACGCAGCCGTACTGATGTTGCCCAACCATTTATCAACACAACTGTCACGTGATTGTTAACACAGAATGGAGGCCCTTCCTAGGCCGACCACGTGATCGCCAAGCGCTGGTTAAGTGTTTGTTCGGGCAGCAGCTGCTTGCGCTGGGGGCCGACCTGACGGCCGAGAGACAGCGGTCTCTGTTATCGTACGTGCTGCAGCATCGGTCCTCGGTGATAGTACTGTCACGCCGCTTCTGGACGACCACAGCTGCAGCCGGTGTCCACCAATGTTTACGCACGTGCAATTTAAAACTGCGTGGTCGGCATGCGGCCGCTTCCCTCAGTGCTCCAGTTCAGGCGGCTAATAGCCAGAGCAATAGATATCGGGAAGAACAAAGTTCGGTGCATAAATCGTAACATGAAACAAGAAATACACTTCATGTGCAATGTAAGCCACATTTCC